AAATAATATAATATATATATATATATATATATATATATATATATATATATATATATATATATATATTGTTTATTTTAAATATTTTTGTTTACATCTTCAAAGTAAATTTTTGAACAATTAGACTAACTTTAAATATTTTACAAAATATTTTAATTAATGAATTTTTTAGCTAATTTTTAATTAACTAAAAATCTAATTTTCCCTTAAAAATCTTCAAAGAAAATTTTCTTTTATTATGGTTCAGATTTTTTTATTTTTTATTCTTAGATCTACTTCTTGATTTAGAAACTTTTCTTTTTTTTCTGAATTACCCCTACTACTATAAGCAGATGATATTTTTTTTAGCCTTTTTATTTTTGTTTAAAAAATATTTATTTTTAAACTAAAAAAACAAAACAAAAAAATTACTTTTTAATTTAAAATTTTCTATTCTTAATCCTAAAGTGAGTTTTTGAATTAATTAGCCAAATTATCATTTATAGCTTTCCCTGTTAGAAGAATCGGTCCTCCGTTTTTGAATATTTCAAGCTATTACAAAATAATGCAACAAGCATCAATTTTACTATTAATATTTCCTGAAATACTAATAGGGCATTCTTTTTAATCTCCAAAGTCTTTTTCTTTATTACTCATGATTTTAATCTATGCTCCTTTACTTTTTTACGAAATTTCTTTAATCATACACCCCTAAGCTCCAATAAGTTTTGTCACATACTTATTTGGTATCATAAACTTAATAAATAATTCATTATTTTCATGTTCCTGTTCATAGTATTTATCGATTTTCTAATAAAGTTTAATAGTCGAATTTTAAATACTTTACAATTTTCCTTTAAGTAAACAAACCACTTCATTTTATTTGAGTTATCTTAGTTTTCTATCATCATAAAATCTCAAATTTATATCAAAGTCTTTCTCCAAATTTCTCAAAAAGTCCCTTTTATTTTCCAAATATCTTTAAACTCTATTATGTAAAATAAACCTCACTTAAGTCTCTTATTCTGTATAATTTACAGGATTATTAGAATTTTCGTTTTCGGTCATTTTAGAAGCCCTCTCTTCTATTATTTAATAAATCATTTTTATTGCACTTCCGACATTTCTATATTCGCCCTCGACACTTATAGTTCTTTAAACCATTTTATTTATTGGTTAATTTGCAACTACCTTAGTCTTTGACTCCTCCATTATTTAGTTTATTTATTTACCTTTTATTCCAATCACTAAGCTAACCATATTATTTGGAACTAAACACAAAACGTTATATTGTCTATCTTTTTAGTATTTTTAGTTTATTTCTTAGAGTTTTTCATGGACTAATTTTAATAATTTCTATAGCTCTTCATACTTTTTGCTTTGATTTTTATCAGCTATTCTTACAAGGATCCCATTTAAATCTGCAATTGTAAAATTTTTATCTAATTATAATGCTTCAGATACTATTTAAGATTCATATTTTAATACTATTTCTCGCTAATCGTTTTCAAAAAATAACTCGTAATCGAATATTCTGTTTTCTTTATTTTAGTTTTCTTTATTTTGGTTTTTTTTTGGAGAACTACTTCTATTTATTTATTATTATTATTAATATTTTTTTAAAAAATATGTATATATAAATGTTTACCTGGAAACTGTAAATGAAGATTATGAACTTGATCTTGACCTTGATCTTAATCTTGATCTTGATCGCGATTTTGATCTCGATTTATTTGACATTTTTTTAGTATTTTTTTTTTTTTTTTTTAGTATTTTATTTTTATTATATATTTTAATTAATTTTTATATATATTTTTTTTTTTTTTCTCTTCTTTATTATATTGTATTATTAAATATATTTCTTATTTTTTTTTAAAAAACAAAAAAAATATAATTTACATATTAAAAAATAACTATTTAATAAATCAATTTTTTTATTTAAACAGTTTCTATTACTTTAAAAAGTTATGAAAACGTATTTTTAAGGATAATTGTTAGTTATAATTTGTAAAAATTCATATCTTCACATTAATTTTATTTAGTATAATTAAATTAATAATTTTGGTTTTTTATAATTTAATAGATATATCTAATATATTAATATAAGAAATTAAAATACAATAAATATCTTAAAATATAAAATGATTTAAAGTTTAATTTATTAATTTAATAAAATTTATTATATACTATATTTATAAGATAAATAGTATTAATAATAATTTATATATATATCTTAATAATATATATCTTAATAATTCAAAAAAATATTAAAATCATGATATTTTAAATCATTTAATTTTTTCTATTAAATACTAAATTATATCAATTATTATTTTCTTAATTGTTTATTTTTATTATAGGACAAACAAATTTGTATTTATTGATACTCTTTTATTTTCTAAATTTTAAATAGATTAATAAATATGGAAATATTATAATTATGATAAAAAAATATAAAAGAAATATATATATTTAAAATTCATATATATAGAATAACTAAGCAAAACTTTTTTTTTATATCAAAAATTTAAATTTAATATTTAAATTAAATAATCAATTACCCGAAATTATAATATATATAAATTTTATAAAAAAAAAAAAATAAGCATTTTATAAAAAAAAAAAAAAAAATCTACTTTATAAAAACTTTTTTTTTAAAAAAAATAACTTTAATTTATATCACAAGTAAGTAAAATTAAAATCTAAAATACAAAATCTAAACACATTTTTAAATTTTAATTATAATATTAAACATTTAATTCATAACTCATTATTTTCTCTTTATTATAATCTTTAATTAGCTTTGCTTATAATTCTATTTCTTTCTTTTATATACAATACAAATAAATAAATTATTCCTGGAACAAGTAAAACTGCAAAAATAACATCAAGAATGAAGCCCAAAAGAAATATAATAATTCCCAAAAAAAATAAAATATACTTAATATAACATTAACAATTTAAATAAGTACTATTTCTATATTTTCTCAACAATTCAATATAAGCGCCTAACAAAAAAGCAGGCCCACTAAACAAAAGAGCAAAAGGAAACAAAAATATAATTAATACAAATATCCAAAATCTAATACAATAGATTTTCCACATTTAAGTGTTATGAACAGTAAACCTACCATTTTATAACATAGGACATCCGAAAGGATTTAAAGCCATAGTATGCATTTAAGTATAAGTATCTCCACAAAGCCAACACCATTAATATTCACAAACAGAACTATATATATATATATATATATATATATATATATATATATTATATATATATATATTTTATTTATTTTATTATTATTTATTATTTTTTTATTATTACCATGTCATATGATTGCATCCTTCTATTTTTTAAACTAATGCTTTACATTTTCTACACCTTTAAATATCTCTTGTATTTATTAATATTGTAATTTCTTTTTCGAGAATTTAATTGCAAGAGAATTCTTCATGATAATTTCTATTACATTAAGTACATATAAATGCTTAACATTAATCACATTATATTTTTTGCTAGTTTTTGTTTTCTAATTATAATATATTTTCACAATTTATTGTCGGGCAGAATCTTTTTAATGGATCTTTTTATATATTGACCCTTTTTTGAAAATATCTAAATTTAATATATGTTTGATTATCGACATTATCTTATATAATTTAATCAGTTAGTAATTCCAAACAATGCGGACATTTCATATTTTCTACTTTTGAAATTCTAATTTCTTCATTTAAATAATTCTTAAAGCAATCCATACATATTAAATGGCATACTTTTTAGATAAAAAGCATTTAATTTTCTTCTACTTAAGATAAGCAAATCTAACAAATTTTATAAGAAGTATTCTCTTTTAAGAATTCGTCCACATTCAAATTCATCCGTAAATTTTCTATTTTTTGAAATAATTGTACAGCATTTGTTATATCAAAATTCGAACATTTTAAATGCAAATTTTTCTAACTTTTACAGATTTAACATATTTATTCATTATTTTATTCAGGTAAAAATAAATGCGTATACATATCATCATCGTCTGTTGTTAATTATAAAAAAGCTTCATCCGCACTCATACAGTTTTCACTTATAATTATAAAAAATGCATGATTTTGAAGAACTCCTGAAGTAGTTAATTATTTATATATGTTATATTAATTCATTTTCAAATTTAATTTTGCGGACATTATTTATGAATTTATTCGAATATATTAGTTTTATTGTTTACTTTCACTTGATAATATTGAGTCTATCATATCTTCGGAATCTATACGACTTTTATAATATAAATGGTGTGGGGAATTATTTAATATATTGTTTTAATAATTCGAAGATATTTAAAACGAAATATTTTCGTTATTATTCATTTTTTTTTATTATTATTCAATTTAAAGCTAGTATTCCTTTTTTTTTTTAATTTGTTAATATAAAATTATTTATAATAATAAAATATAAATATTTTATTATTTTTTTATTCATTAATAAAAATTTTTTTTTTTAAATAAAAGTATCATATAAAATTAATAAATAAGTTTGAAATTAAATTAAAATTATAGCCACATATACTTTTATTAAAGGAAAATATATAATATTTATATGATTAGAATTATAAATTGCATTAATTTTAAAAATATAAATTTTACTTATATAACATTTTTTATATGTGTTTGTTTTATAAAAATATTTTATATTTAAACAAAAATTAAAATAAAAATTGAATAATATATTTTTAAATAATAATAATTTAAAATTTATTTACTTCTAAATTATTTACATGTATATATTATATAATAATTATAAATTTATGTTTAAATGTAAATATATATATATATATATATATATATTTTATAAATTATATTGAATTTAAAACACTTTAAATATTTATGGTATAATGAAATTTTAATAAATCAAAAATAATAAAAAGCTATGAAAAGCATTAGATAATATTTTTAATTTAATTTTTTTTTAAATTTCCTATGCGTTACGATAATTATATATATTTTAATTATAATATCTTTTAAAATTAATTAATATATTAATAATAAAAGTATTTTTTATAAATAATAATAATAAAATTCTATAATTAATACAAAAGCTTTCTAAATCTAGTGTTTTATTTAATTTTTTTTAATAATAAAATTATAATTGACTACCAGAAAATAGAAAACCTAATAATAAAATAAAAGATAAGAATAATATATTTAGTATTTAAAAAATAGAAATTCTAATAATTTATATTTCATATATTAAATTTAAATTAATCTAAAAATATTTATAAAAAATTAGATTATTAAAATATAATTTATATTATAATGTTTATAGTGTACATATATAATTAAGATAATTCAGATTTTTACATATTACATAAGAATTCTCATAAAAATAATAAACTTAACAATACAATAATAGTTTTACAATTATATATAAAACACATTTAATCTATTTTCAGGTATAATTATTTTTTTAATCTAAAAAAATAAAAAAAACCTATTCAAAACATTAAAAATAATGATTTCTTAGAAAATGTATTTCAAATATTAATTTTATTCTCAGTAAAAATTTTCCTAATCTAAATAATTAAAAAATAAAGTAATAATTTTAAATATTTTATGAAGCTTTTTAGTTAATTAATATTCCATTTTTAATAATTATTTTATTAAAGATAATTTTTTAATATAAATTATATTATATTTATTTAATAATTATTAGATTAACTAAAATAAAAATATAATAATTTTCTTTTTGTTTTAATTTTTATTCAGTTTCCCTTTAATTTTTATTTTAATATATAAGTTTTTTTTAAAAAAAATAAAAAAACAATAAGAGTGACAAGTGATAGTTAAAAAATATTAAGGTTTTAGCCATTAATAATTTATAAATTATTATTGTTTTTAAATAAAAATTAATTTAATCATTAATATTAATATATTAAGTATATAAATATTATAATAATAATTATGTATTTATATTAAAAAAAATTTAAGATTTTAACCTTTTAACCCAACAAAATAAAAAAATAAAATATTAAACAAAAGAAATACAATATAAAATTGCATATCAGTACATTTGGTTTTTTTTTATTTAATTTTTAATGTATTTATTTGTTAAAGTTTAAAATAATGTTAATAAATTATTATGATAATTAAATTTTTAGAATATTAATAATAATAAATTAATTCTTATTAAAATCTAATTGAAATATTTTATATGATTATTTAATCTAATATAAATAATAATATTAGATAACATAAAAGTTATAATGTATTTTTTTAATTTTTTTAAATTTAAAGCATTCTTTTAAGTAAAGAATATTATTTATCAAAATAAAACAATGTTAAAGAAAGAATATATAATAATTTTGTGTGTATGACAATATTTAATACCAAATAAAAATTTATTAGAATAATTATAAATAAATAAATTAAGTCCTTCTTTTTTTAAAATGTTTGCAAGAAGATTTAGTACAAAATTATTATATAAATAATTTTGATTAAATAATTAAAATATGTTAATGATATTTAATTTTATAAATTATATAAAAGATAGATATATATATATATATATAAAAAATAAATAAGTAATTTATATTTTTTATTTATAAATTCACTAATTTCTATATTTTTATTAAACATATAGTTATTTTATATATTTTTATTTTAATAAAAAAAGCTAAAAAATAAAATAAATATTTTAAAATCTTTATTATTATTATATTTTTTATGTATTAATAAAAACTAATATTAACATATAGTATATATAAATCTTATTTTTATATTTTATTTTTTTCAATATATATATAAAAGATCTAAATAAAATTAATGTAAATAAAATAATTTATCAGTTTAATAATTTTAAAATAATAAAACAAAAAAATTCATAAAAATATAACGATTGCGCTAATATCATCCCTTTGATTGGCTTAACACTTAAAAAATTATTAAATAAAATATAATATAAACTTTAGAAAAAAAATAAAAAATAAATATATACTTTCTTCCACTTAAATAGAGCCCTATTTATTAAATATTTAACAGCTTCTTCCACATTTTTTTATTCGTAAAAAGGCTTAACTAAATTAACAGCTTCTTCGTTATCAATAATAGACCAAATTCCATCAGAAGCAACGATAATAAATCCATTTTATTATATTTATTAATAGTCAAATTCAATAATTTCTTTTTTTTATAAATAAAAAAAAAACAATTAAATATTATTTTTATTAGTATTTATTAATTTATTACCTGGATCGCAAACAATTCCTGCCTAAACACCTATTTTATCCCCAAAACTTCTTGTCATAGCCAAACCTGGGGCTTATTTATTTTTAAGCCAAACCCTTAAAGGCCCTTGTTTACTACCATTAACTTTTTTTTATTTTTTGCTTTTTTTTACTTTTTTTATTTTACTTAAACATTAATCTATACTTCCTCCTGCTTTAATTATTCTTTGATATTCTTATTATATATAAGGACTATGATCATTTGATAACTTTTAAATTATGTATTAATTATTTCTAAGCTTTTTTGCAAAAATAGCTCTAGAATCTCCAACATTTGCACAAAATATTTTTTTTTCTGTAATGTATATGTTACATAATGTAGATCCACTTATAATTTAAAAAAAAATATTATGTAAGTTATTAATAAAAAATAAAACCTTAAATTAACATCGAATTATCTTTACTCATTAATTAATTTATTCAAATTAGAAAAAGCTTTCTAAATGCAAACTTTTAAATTTTAGTTTTAATTTAATTAAACTTCTAAAATACTATGTAAATTCTATTTAATAAATTAAGAAACTAAATGACCATTTTCCCCTTGTTTTTATTTGTTTTTTATTAAAAAAATAAAAATAAAATAAAATATAAACTAAATAAATACCATGTCCATCACAAATCCCAAAATTAAAAATATATTAATTTTTAAGATTTTAAGGTAAAGTTATAACTTCATCTTAATTTATTTTATTTTTTTACATTTAATTAAAACCAGCAATTGATTTAGATGCAAAAATTATGTTTTTTTAATTTTCTTTTTTCTATTATTTTATTAAATGCATTGATATTTCTTTTTACATTTTCGGGAATCCTTATTCAATATAAATTTTTTATTACGTTTAAGCGTTTTCTATCAATATGCTTCTTTTTAACTATTTTAACTAAGGTTAACTATTAAATTAATTTGTAGCTTTTATATTTTCTTGTATTAAAGGTAAATTATCGAAAGAAGATCTTTTTTATTTTTTATTTATTTGTATTTTTTATTAAGTATAAACATTTCTTAAATTTTCTAATTTGTATTTTTTTTAATTTATTTTATTTTATTTTTGTTAAATAAAAAAAAAAAAACCTTCATTTTCTTTTTACTTATTAAGATTAAAATAAGAAAATTATTCATATTTTCTTTTTTTAAAAAATAAGTAATATATTATATTAGCTTATTTTATATTAAAATGAAAAATACAATAACTAGGAACATTTTCTTAATTTATTTATTTGCTGTAAAATACAATCTTTATTATTAGTTTGCTCTATATCAACTTTTATTTCTTTTTGAGATTTTCTGTTATGTTTTTCACTTATATCTAGTAACTATTTACTTTTTAAAGTATTTATAAGTTATAATAACGGAGAAATCATATTTTAGTTTTAATTCATTAATTTTTATTTGTCTATTTAGAAATAAAAATTATAAATTTTATTATATAGTTTATAATTTTAATAAAATAAAATTTTAATTTAAATTTTTATATATTTAAAATGTATTTACATCTATATATATATATAAATTTTTATATGTTAATGGCTTAAATTTTATATTTTTTTAATATTTATTTTTAAAAACTAAAAAAAAAAAAAAACTGACAAATAATTGATTATTCTTATAAATTAATTTTTTTTAAATAGAATTTTATAAAATAAATTACATAAAAATAAAAGATAAACATTAATTAATAATAAAAAAATAATTATCAATAAATTGATAATAATTAAACGAATTAAAAATATAATGCACTTAAGAACAAAAAAACAATATACAAATCATTATTGATTTAAATTAAGTTCTTAAATTTTTATTTTTCTAGCTTCTTAATCTTAATTCCTTTTTTTTTTAATTTCATTTAAAATTAAATGTTCTTAATTTTATTCATTTAAAACATTTTACAATTATCTAAAAATAAAATAAAAAATTATTATATATTATATTTGATAACATTTTTTCATCCTAAGTTGCATGATTATCGTATCTTTATTTAATAATATTCTTTTATGTTAAATATCTCATTTCTTCAGTAATTCCTTACTCTAATTCCTAAATAAATATATATAAAAATAAATAAATATTTTAATAATTTTTAATAAATATACTTTTTTAAAATAAAGTTTTATAATATATATTTTTTTAAACAATAAAATTTTTAAAATACTTATAACATATCTTTTTCCCATTCATGTCTTTCAATTTCATCTTATATAAACTATTTATTCATTTAAGAATTTTTCAGTAGATATTTTTTTTACAATATATTATTTTCTCTTTCTATTAATTCTTATTTTTTTTATTCATAATATTCTTTTCTTTCTTTTTCTAATTACAATTTTTCTTATTATTCACAATTTTCAATTTTTTTAAATTCAAAATCAACTAAAATTTTTGATATATTTTTTCCTTATTATTCTTTAAAATTATATTCGAAAAAAATAAATAAAAAAAAATGAAATTTTATTTATCTTTTTTTTATTTACATAATTTATCATATATTTTTTCTTTTTATTTTAATAAATCAACTGAATATTATTTATTTTATTTTTAAACTTCTTACTATATAAAATCTTTTTGTATTCTTTATTCGATTCCTGAGTTTTTCTTTTATGTTAAATCATTATATTTTCTTTATTTTTTATTTCCTTATATTCCATTATTATTTTATTCTTCTTTTCTTTACATCAATGCTATTTGTAATCCTACTAACTTTTTTTTATATTTTATTTGTTTTATCAATAAACAAAAACTTAATATGAATTACTGAAGAATCATCCACTTCAATTTTATTTTATTGTTTTTTTGGAATTATAGTACTTTCAGCTAACCAACCTAAATCACTCATTTTTTTTTTTTATAAAATTTGATTAATTTATTAGATAAAATATAATATAATAAATATTTATAATTATAAATAAAAAATATTAAAAAGAGAAGATAATTATTTAATATTTAAAGATGATAAAATTTTATAAATAATATATATTATAATAGCGATAATAACTTTAATAAAATATAAATATTCTAAAAAAATTCATATATATGTTAATAGTAATAAAAATAATAAAAAATATCTTAATAGTATTTTTTGTTTTATAAATTTTAAATGTATATATAACATTTTACAAATTAAAATTCTTATTTAATATTTTTATAATATATATAAATTTTTAAGATAATCATTATTCTTTTTTGTCTTATTCTTAAACACTATAGAAATCTAGAAAAAAAATAATTAGCGATTAAAATAAAATATAATAAAATACACTTTTTTATTTAGTTGGTTATATTAAAACAATTCCTAAAAAAGCAGTAAAAACACAAACAATTAAACAAACTATTAATGTTGGAATCATATATGCATACTTTTTTCTGGAAAATAATTTTATATTTAATGTGTTGGCTCAATAAAAGGCTTTTTAATATAATATTAGCTAATATATATTTTTTATTTAATTACAGTTATTAATACCCATATTAAATAATAAATATATAATAATGTTAATGTTATCATTCCTATTTATCCTATTGATTGCATACTCATTTTATTTAATATTTTTGATTATTTTTCAATATTTTTTTTTTTTACTTTATAAAAAAAAAAAAAAAATTTTAATTAATTTAATTTGAAAAAAAAGAAAAACTAAATAAATAAAATAATAAATAACCCAAAAATGAAATAAAATAAATATATACATTTTAATATCACTAAGGTAATTTAAGATTCTTCTACTACGCATAATTTCTAGGTTTTCTAGGTTAATAAAAATGTCATAAAGACTTTTGTTAGTTATTTATTTAATTATTTAAATATCACATTATTATTATGGCTTTTCGTAATATTTTCTAATTAATTCAATTTTTTAAGCAAATTTTTATATTTTTAGACTTTATTTCTTTCTAAAAGTACTATTCGTTCATTCTTTTTTCAGTTTAATTTTTTCTGTTTTCTGAGTTTTCTATTTATATTAAAAATTATTCATATTCGTTATTTTTTCTGGAGTAATTTTTTTAAATCTTTATATTACAATTTTTCAAAAAAGTAAATTTAAGCATTAAATTTCAATTTTTTTCTCTTAAAAATCTTTATTTATAAATTTCATTTAATACAAAAAAAAAATTATCTAATTTTTAATTTTTCTCTTCCTATAAAACTAAAAGTTAATTAAATTTTCGTATTTTCTTCTATTAACAATTTTAGACCAATCTTTAGATTAATCTTGATAATTTTATTTTCTGAAATCACCTTTAATATTCATCTTATTATGCTATTAAACTAAACTGTCTGTCTTTTGAATTTTTTATTTATTATTAAAGAAACGCCACCTAAGATTTTAACTAGTTTAAGCATTTTATAATTCCTTTTATTTTAATTAACCGAAAAAGTTCAATGGAAATATATTAAAGTTTTATAATTTTATTAATTTTATTTTTTTATTATTTTTGAACATTAAACTTAATTCTTTATATAAAATAAATAAATATATATATTGGTTTGTAATTTTACTTTTATATTTTACAGAACCTTTTTTTTTATTATTAAAATAGTAAATATAAATAAAAGTTCATATCTTATTTTAATTTATATTTATAAATTAAATAAATAGAAAAAATATATATTAAAAATTATTTATTTTAAGAATAAAAATATATATTAAATACATTCATTATTTAAGCCCCCTCAATTAGTCTGTTTTAAATAACACTAAAAGGTCTTATTATTTAATATTTTTTCCCTCAAATTATATAAAAAGACTTACCTGCTTTTTTAAAAAAACCAAAAGGTAAAAATATTAAAAAATAGCAATAAAGCCTTAATTTAATTTTTTTTTTTAATATATTTATATTAATTCTAATATAAATAAAAAATATTAACAAGTAGTATAGAATATATAATCTTAATATAATCCATAAATAATTTATTTATAATTGAATTATTATAATAATAAAATTTTAAATTAATATAATATTTAAAACTTTTTATATTTTATGAATATTTAAAAAATAAAAATTATACTAATATTTTTGATTTTTTTGTTTTTATTATTTATATGATAAAAAAAAAATATTATCAAATCCTAATATCATCAGTTATCTAATTAGAATCTTTTTATTTAATGAAATCTTTCTATTAATAAATATTAAATTTAGTATTTTCAGGATACCAGTTTTCATCTTTTAATAAATTTTCTTCTTATAAACTATCTTAACTTTTCCATAACTCTTTTCTACAATGAGGATTTCTAGGACTTGGGTAAGGTCTCATATCTTCCGGAATACTCATTTAGTCTTGAATAATATTAGCCTCTTACCACCATTCCTATTCATATTCAAACCAAGTATTAGGCACATTTAAATCAAAATCATTAATAGGTTTAATTGGTGGATCTGCCCAAAGGAAAATTTCCCAATGATAATCCACACTTTCTAGTACAGGTGCAAAACCTATAAATATATAAAAAAAACAAAAAAATATATATAAGTAAATATTTTATAAAATAAGTATTTTTATTTACCTACATTAAGCATTGCAATATCTTCATAAGCTTAAGAATTCCATAATACTTCCACTTTTTCACCTTTAGAATTAGTGACTACTTATCTTGCAACAAAAACTTGATTTGTCAAATAAAATATATCAAGTCCAATATTATATGCTATATAAGCAAAATCTACTTATTCTTAAGGGGATAAACCTAATTTTGTTATCCATTCAGCCTCCTTTCTTGTTATTCCAGGAACTCTTCTCATTATTTCTTCAGGGTCCATTTGACAATAACAATAATCATAACCTACTGTGGTATTGTAATACATTGATCTTATGTCTTCCATTGTATATGGACCGTCATATGTGGGTAATGGACCTGATTCTCTTACTGGATTAATATGACGAACGTTTCTGACAGGAGAATTGGGAACAGAATGTACACTATGAACATATTCGACTATTTCTTCATTTTTTGGTAATGTTCTTGGCACGTAATAATCTTTATATCTGTTTGGATTATATGGACCGGCTTTTTATAATTTTTATATAAAAAAAATCTTAATTAAAATGATTTATATCATTATTTTTATTATTTTAAAAGCTCAATAAAAAAAAATATTAAAGTTAACATTTTTTTTAAAAAAATACTTTTTAAAAATTACAGAAAAATAAAAAAATAATGCCATTAATAAAAAAAATATTAAAAAAAAATAAGAATAAACTTTGATAATTAATATATATATCTTTTATTTACAGAAACCGCTACTGAAACTCTATGTTTTAGTTGAATGAATCTGCTTTAAAGGTTAAGTTAAAAATTTCTTTAGGAACATTTGATATATTTTTTGTTTTCTTATATATAATGAATATTTATATAAATATATATATATATATATATATATATATATATATATATCTATATATTTATTATAAGAAATATTTTTTTTTTTTTTTTATTTTTAAAAATAAATATATATATTTTTTTTTATATACTTTTTATTGATATTTGATTTTATATTATTAATGAAATAAAAATTATATTCTTCAGATTTTTATTTAAATAATCTTATTATAATTATATTATTTTATTTTATTTTTTTTAAATATATTATAAAATATTAGAATTTTATGAAATATTTGTTTTAATAAAAATACATAATAATAAATAAATATATAAGTAAAAAAGATTAATAAAATAAATTTTATCAAATTAAATCTAAATCTTCTTCATCTATAGCTTCGAAATCTTCTTCAATATTTTCTTCAAAATCTTCTTAATAACTTTATTCATTATTTTTATTATAATTATTTTAAACTTTCTCCTACTTAATCTATTAAATCGGTTATAATTTTTTATTTTTGTCCCCAAAATCATCTTTTTTATTATTATTTTCATAAATATCATTATCATCTTTTTTTTTTTCAAAAGCATCTTTTTTTTTTTCAAAAACATCATTTTTTTTTCCAAAAGCATCATTTTCTATTCCTAAAACATTTTTTTTTTTCCCAAAAACATCATCTTATTATTTACCTTTACTATCTTAAAAATCATCAATTTCATCACTTAAATCAAATTCGTATGCAAAACCACTTTTTTATTCTTTTTTAGGCTATATTTCTTATTTTTTTTCTTCTTCTTTTTTTTTTTTATCATCTTTTTTATTAAATATATCATCATCTTCATCAAAAAAGTCATATTTTTTCACTTATTATTTAATTGGTTATATTTAATTTTTATTCTCTTTTTTTCCTAAAGAATCATACTTTTTGTTTAATGAATTTAATTTTTTACTTTAAATATCATTATCATTTTATTCTTTTTTTCCATAAAAATCATCTTTTTTCTCTAAAGGATCAATTTTTTTGCCTAAAGGATCAAATTTTTTGTTTGAAAAATCATCTTTTTTTCCATATAATATATGATCTTCATCTTCTTCGTCTTTTTTAGAAAAAGAATCGAATTTTTTTGCAAATGGATTATTATTTTTTTTATTTAATAAATCATCTTTTTTTCCAAAAAAAGAATCAATTTTTTTTCTTAAAAATCATCTTTAATTTCTTAAAAATCATCTTTTTTTCATCCGTTTTTTTCTTTCTTCCGTTTTTTTTTTTCTTCTTCTTTTTTTACCGAAAAATCATCTTTTTTCTTTTTTTCATAATCTAATGGTTAGCCTTTATTTTAATAATCATTATTATTATTACTATTATAATTCTTATTTTTATTTTCAATAGGAGAATCATGAATATCTTCAAAGATATATTAATTATTTTTTATTTTTATTTTTAATAAATATCAGGAATTTCCAATAAATTTTTATTTGAAAAAACATCATTTTTTCCTTCCTAAGAAACATCCGTATTAATTTATTATTGTAATTATTCGCTTTATTTATAAAAATTACTTTTATTTTTCTCCAAATTATCTAATAAATCTTTCTTATCACTTATAGGTCGGGTAGGACTTTAAGTCTTTTTAATAACAAAATCTTCTGTATTTTTCCTATTTCTTGACCTTTCTACTTCAGTAAAAACTCTCAATCTTGAATTTGTTAATTAATTATTTTCAACTGATTTTTCTTATTCTTTTGATTATTACATTAATTTTTGTTCATATTTTAAATAATCCATTTCTTCACGAAATGATTCTTCTATTAGATTTTTATCATTAAAAAAAAATTATTTTTATCCAAAATTATTATTTTAAAGATCAAAAATTTTATAATTTTATAAAGAATTATTTTTATCCAAGTAATCATTTTCTCTTTAAAACATTTAAATTTATTTATTTCTTTTATTTTTAAGATCTTCTAGTTCTTTCTAAATAAAATTTTAATTATTCATACTATTTCTATTTTCATTATTATTATTATATAACTATTAATTTTAATTAAATTATTATTATTATTATTTTTAAGAAATTAATTCTTAATTTTACATTTACACTTTTCTATATTCTTTAATTTTCGTTTCTAATTCTTCTATTTTGTCCTAATAACCTTAAATATCATTATTATAATTTTTTAATTAATCAATTTAATTCATTTTAATTTATTCGCTCATTTTTTTACTTTCGTCTAAAGCATTTTTATAGAAATTTATTTCTTCTTCTTTTATTTTTATCTTTTATTCATAATTTTTTATTATTTCTTAATCTCTTCTATATGATTCTGATACATTTCTCATATTTTCCCTTATTTAATTTATTTCGATTTCGAATTCTTTCTTTTTCCTTTTTGTTTCGTGTAAATCTTCCGTTAATTTTCTATTATCCTCAGCTAGTTTTTTATTTTATTCAGTAAATTAATTTACTGTATCCTTTAATATAAAAAAAATAAATATTATTTATTTAAATACAAAAAAATACTTTCATTTATTTAATCTTATATAAATCTTCATCAAGAATTTTTTTTTTTTCCAATAATTCCAATTTTTCAACCTCAAGTTCTCTATGAGCTTCTAATTTACTATAAGCAATATCATTATTATATTTCTTTTCAATAATTAATTAACTATCTTCTGCTTTTTTTATTTTTTCTTTCAATTCTTTCTCCAAATTTGTAATTTTAGCCTTTCCCAATTTCTCACTTTCCTCATTTAAAGCTTTTTGTTTTTCAATTTATTCTTCCCTGAGTCTAATTAATTCGAAGTCCTTTAAAATTTTTTATCTATGTCCATGATTTAAGCTCTCTATTTCTTTCATTTTCTAATTACATTTTTCGAAAATATCCTTTTCTCTATCCCTTAATTTGGCTAATTTTTCCATATAATTTTTCTCTAAATCTTCTCTATAATCCTACATTACTTTTCTGTTTTTTTCTTACTCTTCCATTCGAATTTGGCTAATTTCGAATTCGCGAATTCTTACAATTTCTGTATTCATTTCAGCTTTCATTCGAATTTCAAAATCTCTTTTATATTTTTAAAGTCTTTCTTCCATATCTCCTTAAGTATAACAACTTATTTCTTTTACTTTTTCTTTAAATTAATTATCTACAGAATTTAAACGCTGCTCTAAATTAAAAACTGCATCTGCGTGTTCTGTTTGTGTACTTGAATTGTTTTTAGAAACTCTTTTTTCTGGTTTTAAATGAATTTATATAAGATTTTCTAATAAACTTTCTTTCTAATTTATTTCTTCTATATTCATTATATCCTAAATTTCTTAACGAATCAATGTTTTTTGTGCAAATCCACTTTCTGGTAAATATATACTTTGAGAATAATGGAATTATTCGTAATCCATATATTCATTTATTAGACTTGCTAATAAACGCTTTCTTAATTATTTTTAATTGTCTAACTATTGTATTTATAAATTTTATTATTTTTAGGATTGAACTAATTTCTCCATCATTTTATGACGGAGCTGAGTTTTGACTTAATCTAAAACTCCAGTATTTTTAAAACTTTAAAATAGTTTTTCTTTGTAGTTATCAATGCTTTCATCATTTTGGTTATTCATTTTTTAATAAATTAGTTTTATTTTTTTTATAAATATAAGTCCTTTTTTTATTTATATGTATATATATATTTATTTTTTAAATAAATACATAAAAATTTTAAAATATCAAGTTTTTTTTTTTTAAATATATATATATATATTTTTTTTTTGAATTTTTATTTTATTAATTAAATTATATAAAAAATTAATTATTTATTAAAAACATATTTAAAAAATATAAAATTTATTTTATAAAAAATGTTTATAAAATATAAAATATCTAGAATTTATTAAAAATATTGTTAAAGATTTTATTTATTTTAATATAAAAAATTAGATATTATATTTATTCTCATACATTTAGTCTTAGTTTATATTATTTTTTAAAAAATAATAAATAAATAATAATTTTAATATAAATTATAATTTATTTATTTTATTTTTATTTATTTTATTTTATTTTTTTTTACATTTTTTATTTATTTTTATTTTATTATATTATATTTATTTGATTTTTTTATTAAATTTTATATTTAATTTTTTTTATCTATATTTTATTTTTTTAATTTTTATTTTTGTCAACAATTATATTTCTTATATTTATCTTAACATGTTTATATATTATTTTTTTTATATATAATTAGTTTAAAAAAACATTTTATTTTAATATAAAAATATAAAATTTTCATTTTTATTATTTAATAAATTATCTTTACAATTATTTTTGTCTTTTTAAAAATAATAAATAAAATTATTTGCTTAATTTCCTTTCATATATTATATTTCACATTATTTTTTATTTATTATTTATATTTATATATAAATTTACTTCCTTTATTTGCATTAAATCTCTTTATTTTATTTAATAAATATATTTTTTATTCTTTTATTTTTTCCAACTTAGTAAAATATATTGAAATTGCATTAATAACAATATATTTTTTGTTATTTATACAATATTATAAAAAACTACTTAAAAAATTAAAATATGAACAATTTATATTTTTCTCATATTTAATTTTTATAAATAAATAATTATTTATTTTCTTTTAGTTAAGTTAAATTAAATATGATATTTATTTATTATAATGAAATATAACTTCAAAATATATAAATAAATATCTTATAATTTATTAAAAATATTATCATATTCCATGTTTTTTATAATTTGTCACAATAATATTTATTTTTTGTAGCATTTTTTAATATTTTTTAATAATTTTTATTATATAATTAATATTATATTATTCAAATCTTTTAATTAATTATTATTTTTCAAATATTTGATCTTTTTAAAATACTCATTTATATAAATAAAATAGTTATTTAAGCCTTAAACTATAAATGAATCTAATTTTAATTAGAATTATTATAAAAATTTAGATAATATTTACTTTAAACAATATTGTTTATTTAAATTTAGATTTTATATATTTGTTAGTTTTATATATTTTAATTTTTTATTAAAATAATCATTTTTATAATATAATTTATATTTTTTTTTTTTTTTTTTTTAGATTTTTTTTTTTTTATATAATTCATATTAGAAAGTTTTAAAGAAATGTCAAATAAACTAATATTTATAAAAGAATTATTTTAAATATAAAAAATATTTTCTATAAAATAATAAAATATTTAAATTTAAAATAAAACTTGAATTATAGTGCATTTACAATAAATTTCAAATTATTATCTTCTTTGTTAATACAATAAGAATTAGCATTAATAAGTAAAAAAATAGAATAATTTTAAAGTGTAAAATATAATATCATAGAAATTATAAAAAACTTATACAGTCTTCTGACAAATGGGTAGAAGTAAATAAAATCTAGAAAAGGTAATACGTTTCAAAAGTATTAGAATTAATATATGAAAATAATTAATGATAGATAAATTTTTATAAAGTACCTAAATATTTACAAAAAATCTAAATCAAAAATTAAAACTCAGTTATAAAATATTAAACTAATATAAGGCGATAATTCAAGATAAATTAAAAAAATATTAATTAAAGTTATAACTTTATTTTTAAATTAATATTAGATATAATGTATGATTATAATTTAATTTTTATTGATAAAACTATGATTTTTTTAGATTAAAAAAAACGCATATATATAAATAAGTGAAAAAATGGTTTTAGAAAAAAAAAAAAATTATAAAAAATTAATAATTCTTAGGTATGTTATATACTAAGGAAATTCAGGATATTAAATAATTAGATAATGGGATATATATAATTTAAAAGAAAAAATTAATTGATTTTTGTTCATTCTTTGAAGTATTACTAAAAGGAGTTAGAAAAAAAAATTTAGAGTATGTATTAAATATATAGATTACTAAAGATTTTATTGAAAAACAATAAATATATATAAAAAATATTTATAATAATAAGTTAAATTTATTAAATATAAAAATAATGATATATATAATTATAATATAATATATTATCAAAAATAAAAATTCAAAGCAATTAAATTATATTGAAATTAATTAATTATATATATATTTTTATATATAAAAATAATATTTTTTATTTTATTTTTTTAATAAAAAGTTATTATAATTATTAAATTGTTATAATAAATAATAATAAAATATAAGATAAAAAACATATATCGATTATAAAAAAATTTTATAAAATTTTATATATATATAAAAAAAATAAACTAAATAAAATAATACAAAAAATGTCAAAATTATTTCATATCTTCCCCTCTCAAAAAAAATCACATACATGAATTAAAAATCTATTTAGCTTTATAACATCTATCCTAATTAGTTTCGCACCATGTACTAATACTAATTTCCTCCAAAAGTACTTTAAAATTACTACTCTATAATAGTTATCCAAATCCATTATCTAAATTATCAAGTGCATTACCTTTATTACTAAAAGCAATATCTACCATAATATTCTAAATACACAAGGGTAATTCATTTTCATCAAAACCATAATATTATTATACTTAATAATGTTTTCTTTAATATAGGTGTTGAAAATTTATTCAGCTTAAGTTTAAGAGAATGGAATTTAATTTGTTTGCATATTTTCGAAATCTATTCCTTATTAAATTAAAATATTCTAGACTTCAGTTAAAGTTAAATTCGGGGTCAAAATATTTATAGATTAGTCAGATATTAATGTCATTAGCTTTGAGATATTTTCCTATTACATTATAAAATCGCTCATTTAAATGCACTAACATTTTGAATTTTCATTTTAACTTTATTTATCATTCATCTATTAGGCCTATTCTGAATATTAATCAGATAAACTATCTGTAATATCGAATTATTTATCCGTTTCTTATACTTATATTATTTTTATTTAAGTTATTTTATAAGACTCGAATTCATTATTATGATTTTCATCGCATTTTTTTATTTCTATATTTCTTTGAGGACTACTTCCTTATATATGGAATCTTTATCTTTAATGACTTTCTTAAAACTAGGTAAAATAACCTATATTTTTCATTAAAAAATAAAATATAAAAAATATTACATCAATAAATCCATTCCCAACATATTTTTAAACTAAACCTTAAAAAATTAAATTTATTACGAATCTAAATCTCTACCACAAATTTAGGCCACAAAATATAGTCTTTTATTTCCTTTTAAAGATTAATTTCCATTAAAAAACGCTTTCTCTACATCTTCCAATATTTCCTACTTAATTTCTGTATCCCAATTCTCAAAACAATTTACTTCGATATCTATACTCATTAATTCTTATGTTTAAACCTTAGTATTTCTTCTTGTTTCAAATTATCCCAAATTAACATCCAAAATACCTTCGCAAACAAAATCTTTACACTAGTTTTCTTCTTAATCTGATTACAAATTAACCTTTCGATTATAAAGAGTTTTTAAAAAATTATTATCTTTCGCAAACTCTATCAAGCTTTACGGATTTATTCCTTTATTATCTATTTAGGCATCATATTAAGCCAAAATAATACTCAAAATAAACACAAGTTCCCCTTTTTTCTCATCCAAAAAGCTCCTAGACAAATCCAGATTTGAACAATCAACCAAATCTCCGCTAACTCCTACTAATAGATCCTAAAAAAAACTTATGGAACATTACTTTTCCTAAACCAAACTAATATTCTACCACATAGTATTTTTTTATGAAAAGCTTTTCAAAAAACCAACCTAATAATGCTAATTAATCACCTCTCCATCTTCTACAGACGGACAAACACCCTATTCATATTAGGCATAATCCTTATTTTATTATTCTACGAGTTCCTTTAAGGTCAAAGCAGAAGCGGAAGTCCCTAGAGAGTCACAAATTCCATTTTTAGGATATATAGATTTAACATTACTACATATAATACACTCTGTATGTCCTTTTCCCTAACATTTTTAACAAGAAAAATGACAAATTTCGCATTTAAGAGTTTCAAAATCCCAATAATATCCCAAAGAACATTCATCGCACTAATTTAGGGTATTACATTATAAGCAGTTTTATTTACAAGACTAGCATTCTTTATCTTCTGGGTTATAAAATTAGGAAATAGTACATCTATTTTAAATATTTTACTCATTTTCAGCTTCATCTTATTAATAGATATCAAGAGTTTACTAGCATTAAAATTTATTATCTTCTTATACTGGAGAATAACCTTCGGGACATTAAGTATAGCAATTATATTTAAAATTAAAAGTCTAAATATAAAATTTAAAATCATCTTTACATTTATCACAATTTTCAGACGTATCACTACACGATTCACAGGAAAAAAAACATGTAATTTATTCATCGATCTCCTATTCAGGATTATTATTTTCTACAATATCTTCTTGTTTGTACATACAAAAACCGTCTGAGAGCTCGTATTATAAAGGATTATTGCATTCAATGCAGTCACTATTAGTTTCTCCAGTACATTTAGAACAAGATGAATGACATTATTAACATTTATAAGGATATTCGGTAGATCTAAAAAATCCATCAGGACATTAATCATCTTTACATCCAGTATTTAATGGAGCTTATGAACAAGTATTATTACTTTTAAAAAAAATTAAAATAAAAAATATATTAATATATGAATAAATGAATAAATAAATATATATATATATATAAATATATATTTATATTCTATAAATCTATATATATATTTGTATTTGTATATATATTTTTATATTACTTTAGTGTAAATCCATCAAAGCATTAATTACAAGTATTTTCTTAAGTACATTTTTTACAATATTACGGGCATTAAATACACTTATCATCTGTTAAAAATTATCCATCTATACATTTTAAACAAGCCTTTGACGTTTATATATAATCTTTTGGACATTTACTTTTACATTTGCCATCTAAATTGAAAAATCCTTTATAACATTATTAACATTTAAATTCATCGTCTTAAGAATCATTAATACACATAGAACAATTTACAGGGCAAACTTTACATTAACCATTTTCAAATAAAAATCCTTTTTGGCATTCAAAACACTTTGATTAGTCTTTTTAACAACGGAAGCATCCAGGCAATAATGTGCAGGAAGAACCTCCACAAACTTCAGGAAAACCTTAAGAAGGGGATTGCAATAATTTAGATTAAGTAAATGTATCAAATAGTGAGTTTACAGGAATTTAATCATCAGGATTATTGCAATTCCATATTTTTTAGAAAGCTTCTACTACTTTTTAAGATAAATCATAAGAATTTTTAACTGTGAAAAGGTTATTTTTATTATCATATATAATTCTTTATTAATCTTTTAAAAGCTTAGATTATTAAGGACTGCTACAACCAAAGTAATTTCCTTTACAAAGCTTGCAATTTTCATAAGATTCACCTAACATTTATAATACTTCTTCACTTGCACATTATGAATCCTTTTTACTTTATTAAATATATATATAATATTGAGGAAGTCCTACAAATCCATAATTCATTTCTAATTTTTAATTTAAGATTTAAAATGTCTTCTCGATCTCTATAAGAGTATGAGATTCTAAATATATAGAGTTATATATTGAAGGACCTGTTTGGGAAGCATAATCTAAATTTATGGCGTTTTAGATTAATTTTACATCGCAACATTAGTGAGCTGCTTCCAATATTTACAAATTTAAAGGTTCGGCATTATTTTATTTACCACATGCAGTATCTGATATTATTTATTGAATGCGCTGCTAGTGGGTATTAGTTAGAAATATTAAGAATACTAATAGTATTATTATTAAGTCTTGTTTTTATTTTTTCATTATACTTTTTTTATATTTTGGGTTTTATATTTTTATTTATTTTATTTATTTATATTGTTTAGTTTTTTTGATTAGTTTTTTTTAATTTTTTATATTTTATTAACTTTTTTTATAATATTAATTATTTTTACTAGAACCATGCAATATTTTCATATCTCTATTTTATTTAGAATATAACAATAATTTAATTGAAAAAAATAAATATTTAAATTATTTGATATTTAATTCATAAATTAAAAAATCCTATTAAAGCAATAAAATAAATTTAATAATTATTTATGAATTAACTTTGACTTATATTAAGATAAAGATTTTATAAAATTTATTGAGTAGAATTAATCTTTATTTGCTTTCAATGTTAATTTTGGCTATTATTATTTTATATATAAGTAACTATATATATTTTTATTTATATGGAATTTAATTAATGATGGATGTTATATTCTCTAAAATATTTTAAATATTAAATTATTATTTATTTTAAATACTTTATATTAATATTTAATATGTGATATATTTCAAGTCTTAAATATAATTTAATATTACGTAAATTTATATATATTATATAAAGATTGCGTTTACTATAAAAATTTATAAAAAACTTTTAAATATTTTTGTTTTTATTTAATGTCACAAGGTATTTTATTAATTATTAAATATAAATGAAAGATCATTAAAAATAAAATAAAAAATTTATTTATCTTTATAAATTTAGAATTATACCCATATTATAGTCTTTTTTTACGTACTTTAGATGTTTTCCATATTTTTTTCTTATTATAAATTTAAATAGAGAAACAGCAATTATTTTTTTAAACTGAAATTTTATACTTAAAAAACTAAAACAAAACCTAATAAAATAAATTAAATTTTAAATTAATATATTTAAAAATAAAAAAATTTAATATATAAAATAAAACTAAGAATATAAATTAAAAAACATTTACTTTATTATTTTAAAAAAATTAAATATTTAATTTTAAAACAATAATAAATATTTAGTTTTTAAAAATAAGAAAAATGAAACTTTTTTTAAATTTGCTATTTATAAAAAAAAAAATTAAATTAAAAAATTATTATCTTTTTAAAAATATTATAAATATATATTTAATGAAATTATATTAAATTTATTATTAATATGTTCTAATATAATATTAAAGAAAAATTATTTGATTAAAGTTACAAAATTAATATTTAAAATTTTAAATTATTATTGATAAAAAAATCATTTAATATATAATAATATAAATACAATAAAAAACCATAAATATTAAATATTTTTTAGATTTTTTAATTAAAATTTCATCAATAATTCATTCATAATCTAAATAACTCAATTTAAGTATCCTTAAAGTTTTCTGAAAAATAGTCAGATTTATTTTTTATAGATTTTTTAGGTGCTTTAATCATCTCAGATTCCACAAATTTAATTCTTTTTTATTTAGGAGTAGAAGGCGATTCATAGTCAGTTTTCATTGAAGATTTTCTTTGTATTTTTTCTATTAATATATTAAGATTAAATTAAGATTTTAAAATTTTTTTAGAACAAATTTGTTTGTTTAAGTTTTATTCTTCTTAGTGATATTTAGTCATTTTTTTAGTTTTTTTTTTTAATGTTTTTTAATTTTATTTTATTAATTATAAATTAATGGTATTTTAATTGCTTAACTCTAATAAATATTTAAAATATCTTTTGTAATAGATTTTCTGTATACATAGTGTCTTTTCTATTATCACTATTTAAAAAAAATATTTATTTACATAAAATGTAATAATGAATATAATATATTAATTAAATATTCGTTAAACAACTAATTATAATATTATTTATTATTTTTTCTATTTTTAATGAATAGAAAATAAAAAGTATTATTTCTATTTTCTAAATTTTTTTTTAGTTTAAGTTACAATAATATTAATTAAATTTAAAAAGAATTTAATTTTTATATAGAAAAATTTTATAATAACACAAATGTTCTATATGCTATAAACTATTATTAAAAATAATATTTTATAATATTTGATTTTTTTTTGAAAAAAAATAAAATATAATTTATAAGAAATCATTTTTGGTAATAAGAAAAATAAAAAATATATAAAAATGTTACTAAATAATGAATAATATTTATATTTTTAAACTAAATATATAATTATATAAATTTTATTGTTTTTTATCATTTTTTATTTATTATTGGTTTTTGTAAAATTAAAATAAAATATAATTCAATCATAAAGTTTTTATAATTGATAATCAAAAAAATGTTATAATAAAAATGATTTAATATTATAAAAAAAAATCGAAATTATATAATGAATTATTAAAAAAATTAATAAATTAAATCTTTATAAGTTTTACAAATTTAAATATATAATAATTTAAAAAAAAAATATAGAGTTATTAAAAATCATTTATTTGAAAAATTTTATACATTATTACTTATTTATTAGATGAATTATATTTATATCTCTATTTATATATTTAGTTAACAAATTATAACATTTTTAATAAAAAATATTATATTTAATAAGTCTTATGTTTTAAATAAATAATATATTTGATAAGAATAAATTATAATATTAATAATTATAAAAAAAATTATCAAATATATTAATTAATTTAAATTTATAAAATATTTATAACTTATAAAATAATTAAAATACTTATTAAACTTATATTAATTTAATGTTATTTTATATAATTTTCAACTGAAATATAGGGAGTAAGATTTTATTATTTATAAACTAAGTTAATTTGAAAAAATTATTAAAAAGAGAAAAAAAAAAATGCATAAAATAATTAATTCATCAATTAAAAAACAAATATAAATATATATTGACATAAATAATAATTTTTTTTTAAAAAAAAAAACAATTTAATAAATTTATATTTTTTAAAAAATATAAAAGGCAAAAAAAAGAAATAAAAACTATCATATTGCCAATAAAAAATAATATATGAATTAAAAAAATTAATTTTTTATTGATTTGTAAAACAATAAATATGTAAAAATAAAAACACTTTCGAAAAATTCTTAATCAAAAGTTTATTTATGTCATATTATAGAAAAACCAAAATAAATGTATGTTTTAAAAAAAATACTATTAAAATATTTAGATTTAAAATCTTAAGAAAAGACCTTAGAAGAATATTAAATAATGAAAAAATTAAATCATCCAAATATTATAAAGTGTGAATCTGCTTTTATATAAAAAAGAAAATATCTTTGCATAATAATTTAATATGCTGAAGGTAATAAAATAATAATAAAAAACGTATAGAAATAAAAATAGGGGGTGATATGTAATAAAAAATAAACTAAATGATAAAAAATAATCAAAAATTTGACCAAAATTAAATCAAAATATGGATTATATAAATAATAGATGCATTAAAATATATACACGATAATAAAATAATACATCGAGATATAAAAGCTTAAAACATATTTTTAAACTCAGAAAATAATATCCTTCTAGGAGATTTCGGAGTATCTAAATCTCTTGAATCTACTAAAGATTTATGCAATACTTATGTAGGTATTTATTTTTATAAATTATATATATATATACTTATATTTTTTTTATTAAAAAATAAAAAAAGGAACCCCTTATTATATTGCACCAGAAATTATAGATGGAGACCACTATAGCTTTAAAGTTGATATTTGGAGCTTTGGAATATTTTTCTATTAATTAAATTATTTAAAATATCCTTTTGTAGGGAATAATATATTAGCTGTATATAATAATATAAAAAATTCATAAGTTTAACTGAATCAAACTGTTTCAGCTGATTTTAATAATTTAATATAATTACTTTTGTAAAAATTACCAAAAAATAGGCCTGATATATATTAATTTTAAGGTAAATTGTATTTTTTATTTATATATTTTTTTTAAAAAAAATATATATATACAATATTTTAATATATAATTATATTTTAGAGAATGAAATAATAAAAAAAATACAAGAAAAATTTAAAAAAAATAATAATTTATAATTCAAAAATAAAATTCTGAAAATATAATTTACTCATGCAGGAATTAAAAAATAAAAATCTATTGAATAAATACAAACAAATTAAGACTTTTTACCTTAAAATAATATTTTTTTACGATCTCCATAAAAAATTAGAACAAATTTTAATAAATTAAACATTATAAATCCTTAAAAGAAGTTTGTTTTAACAAATCTTCCTGTTTTAGGAAAAAAAATCATTTCTGAATGCAGTACTAATGATAGCTAAAGTAGTCCAAATTTAATCTTCTAAAAACATTAATCAGAAAAAATTAAAAATAAAAAACTATTTGAAGAAAAAGAAAACTTTATTTAAAACAAAATAAATGAAGAGAAAGAAAAAACAATTAATATGAAAATATTAAAAATATTTAATTAAATAATAAAAATATTTATTTTTATAATTTTGAGGATTTTTCAAATTAAAAAGAAAACTACTAAAATATAACAAAGGTTATTTTTTATTAAAAAATAATATATATAAATTTTTTAATTTAATAGGAAGAATTAATAAAATAACTTGGAGAAAGTTTATATTTATAGTTTATTCATTTAATTGGGAAAATGTTAAAATTATATAATTCTGAATAAATTAAAAATAATCAGGGAATAAAATAAAAATTCCTTAATTATGATAAATAAAATAAAGTTATAGATTATTCTACATTAATTGATAAAATTATATAATTTTATAAATAAGATTATTGAATAATTCTTATACATTAAAACACTAAAAATATGATATATAAGTATATATAAATATATATATATATATATATATATATATATATATTTATATATATATATTTAATATGAATTAAATAAAAAATATTAATATTTTATAAAAAAAAATATAATTGTTTGTAATTTATTTAAATTTATAATCAAAAAATATATCTTTTTATTTTATTTTATTTTATTTTATTGTAATTATTAAAATTATAAAAATAAAAAAAAATTATGTATATTTTAAACATAAATTTTTTAAGATTTAGTAAATAAAAAAAACAAATTAGGTAAATATATATTAAAAATATAAAATAATTTAAAATTAATTATTATTTAATATGAAATTATATATTGAAATTATATATTTAATTATTTATTTTTAAAATAAAATAATTTGAATTCATTTATATATAAAAATATAAATATTTATAAAAATATATATATATATATATTTATATATTAATATATTAATTTATTTTTTCATTTTTTAGCTAACTATTTTTATAATTACAATAATCATTTTTTTTAGTTTAATAAAAAGTTTTAGATTAAAATATTTTTACTTAATCATGATAGTTTTTTATTTTATAAAATTGAATATTTATAATGTTCTTTTTAATTTTATTTAAAGCTTATAGATTTTTTTTTATTTAAATTTGCATCTTCTTTTACATCTTTTAATTCATCTAAAATATCAAAAATAGTATTTTAACTCTTCATAAACTATCCACTTTAAATTAATTCATTTTAATTTTATATGAATTAATTGTCTAAAATCGAAATTGATGAGTATTTTTTTAAATTAATTTATTTTTAGATATATAATTAATCACTTTTCTTTTTTTATTTTGGATTTGTTTATAGCAAAAATAATTTTTACTTTAATTTTTCTAATTTTTCCTAAAGAATATTATTTTCTTTTTTTGCAATTTAATTTATTTGTCTTTGTTTTTCCAATTGCATTTGTATTTGATTCTTTTCCAAAATCTTTTATTTTATCAATTATTCGTCTTTATTTTAAATTTTTTAAAAAGCCTCTGAATTGTTCCTTTATCTTTCAGTTTTATTTTCTTACAAATTTATTTATATAGAAGGAGCATCTTTTCTTTCCTATTGTCGCATATTTATAATTTTTAATATATTTTATTATTTAATTTAATTTAATTATTAATGTATATGTAAATTAAGTTTTTTTTTATAATAATATAAAGATAATTTTAAGCATTATAAAATATAAATTAATATAATTTTTTTTTATGTATTTTTAAAGATTTTTAATTAATTCTTCATATTTTCTTTATATTTAACATTATTAATAATATAATTTTCAAAGATCTTTTTTATTTTTTCTAATAAAGTAATAATATTAATATTAAAAAAAAAAGATTATTAAAAAAAATATAATAAAAAAAAACTAAAGAAATGAAAAAATATATACATGATTATGAAAATTTTAGAGATTTAGCAGTCGATTTAATTTAAGAAAATCCATTCAAAACGCGTTTAGTTGTAAAATATAACCATAAGAAAAGTATTTGTTTTTTAAAAGTTACAAATGATGCAAAAAATATAATTTTGAAACTAAAAGATCAAAAAGATTTTTAGAAAATAGAATAATTTGTTTAAGCCGCATCTAAAATATTTTCAAATCAATTCGAAGATTTAAACATAATGCAAGAAGAGACAAAACCTGAAACTTAAAAAAAGAAAAAATAATAATAAAAGAAAAAATGATAAGTCCTTCTTTATATTTGTTTTTTAATATAAATATTATTAAAAACATTATTAATGTATTAATGTAAAGGAAATATATAGTTTTATATAAAAATGCAATATATTTATGTGCTATTTAATTATTTACTTTAAATAAAAAAAAATTAATAATTTTTAATTTTATTTAAAAAATAAAATAAATATATAATATTTTTTTTAAAAAAAAATATTAAAATAAAAATATATAATTATATACAAATAACTATTTTATAATATATAAAATTAATAATTGTTAATATTATATATTAATGTAAAAAGTATAAAAACAAATATAAATATTTTTGATATAAAATAATACTTAACTTTTGATGTTTATATGGATAATAAATAATTAAAAATAATAATAAATTAAAATATATTTTTGTTTATATTAATAATAAATGAGAATAAAACAAAACAAAAAAATTAAAAATAAAAATTAAAATTAAAAAATATTTTAGACTCATATAATTAATATATATAAAATAATTATATATATTATTTTTTTATTCATTTTTTTTTGTATATAAATCTTTTTTTTATTATTATTATTTTAATATTTTTTTTTTTTCATTCTTCTTAAATCATATTTTTTTTTATTCATTATTATATTATTTTCTTTGTTTTTTTTATATTTTTTATTCCTTTTTTTTAGTTCACGTCTAGCCTTTTTATCTAAAGGATAATTATTTTCTTCTTGCATTTTATTACTTTATTCATTTAAAACTTTTTCTACTATAGTATTTTTTTTTATTTTTTGATATTCTTAGCTTTATCGCGTCTTTATTTATTAAAATAAATATATTTTTCATAATTAAAAATATTTTATACCTAATTTTGACATTTTATATTTTTTATCTATTAAAATTTATGCCTCGACCCATTTATATTTAATTATATTTAAAATTAATTTTTATATTTTTAAAGGAAATTATATTATTTATTTTATATTAATAAAAATATGTAATAAAAATAGTATATATATATATATATATATATATATATATATATATATATATATATATAATTTATACAATAATTTTTTATCTTTAATATAATTTAATAAAATAAAATCATATTAATATATAAAAATTAATATAAATATATATATTATAATTTATATTTATTTTTATATAAATTTTAAAAATATACTATAAATAATATATTAAATTAAAATATTATGTTTTAAAAATGATAGTTAAAAATAATAAAATAATATTTTTAAATCATCATTGAAAAATTGTAGAATTATTTTAACCAGGATATATAGCAAAAAATTCATCATTTTAATTATTAAGATCATTATTATAATAATCGTTATGTATATGATTATCATTATCATTTTTATTATTATTATTATTATTATTATTATTATTATTATTATTATTATTATTATTATTATTATTAACACTTTCTTTAATTTATTTTTTTAATTAATTTATAATAATTTCTTTTTCTATAAGTTATTCTTTTATAGAATTTATATTAAAACTTTGAATTTATTCTAATTTTTATATATCTTATTTAAGTGATATATTTTCTTCTTTTAATTATTATATTTAAATTTCATATTCTTTATTGAAATGATTTTAATCTTTCGAAATTTTTTCATTTAAAAATTGTAATTTGTTTTACATATCATAATTTTCTGTTTCTTAAATTTCATACTTTTTTATTAAAGCTTCATTTTATATAATTAAATTGTTTTTTTGAATTTCCGTCTTTCTTAATTTACTTTTACTTTCTTCCAATTATTTCATTAATATACTTAATGAGTTTTTATAATCTTATTATTATTTTAAATAATGTTCTTCCATTATTTTATATTTTTGTTTATCTTTTCTTATCAGATTTTTGATTTATTAATCTATTTCTTCAGCTCCAATTTTATATTTATTTTTTTAAAAGCTAATTTTAGTTTATAAATAATATATAAATATAATATAATAAACTTATAATTTTCTAATTAAAATTCTTCTATTGTTCCATTAATTTCTTCCTTTGTTAAATTATTAATCCATTTATTATCAAGACTTTATTTCATTTAATCATGTTAAACTTAATTTTAAATTACGTCTTTTAGACTTTCTTCAATATTTGTCAACTCCATTATTTTTTTGAAATTTAAATGAATAATTGTTGCTAGAGCTCTTGGGAAAACTTCAAACTTATTTTTTTATTTAATTAAAATTAATAAATAATAAAAAAAAAAAAAAAACATTTTTTGTTTATAACATTTCATTAAGAATAACAAAAACAGTTGAAAAGTTTAATTAATTCAAAAGAAAATAATTATATTAATATGAAACATATTTTCTTGTAAACTCATATATTTTCTCGATTTCAATTGCTTATGGAGCTTTTTTTTTATGAAAATTATCCACATAAACTCTTATAATATACTAAATATTTTCATCGAATTTAAATTTATGTGGATGAATTACCTCTGGATATAATAAAGAATATATATCTTTCATTATGCAAAAAGCTCTATTACAAGAGGCGAAACATAATAAAAATAAAGTTAACATTCCATGTCCTTTTACGTATATTTTTTTTCTGTAAGTTTATTTCTTTCTAACATATAAGATATAAATGCACGTAATACATTACTTTGGTTTTATTTTATATCTTCTTCTTGTATATTTTATTATAATTTATCGAGAATATCAGCAAATGATATATTTAAATTTTTAGTATTATATACATTTTCTTCATATATGTCTTTTTTTATTTAAATTATATCTAAATTTTCGGAATATTTGCTAGTTGAAAGGTTTAAATAATATTCATAATGTCTTTTTTTATTTTTTATAGAGCTTAAATAAATAAATTATACTTATTTTCTTATATTGAAATTAACCAAGTATTTGATAAATCAGAATCAAAACACCATTTAAGGTTGTTCTTTAAATTTTTTATTATAAATATTATTTTATTTTTATTATTATTATTTATACATTTATCTATAAATTAGAACAAAATAATAAATCAAAAACACAACATTTTCCAATTGATTTTTATTCGAATAAATTTTTTTATTAAACTGTTAAACCCTTTTGATTTTTTTTTTAACAATATTTATAATTATTTAATATGAAAAATTATTCATTTTTTTAAATTAACTTTTTTATCAAATTTAAAACATTATTTACAAGAACATTAATTGCATCTTAAACAAGTTAAAATTTGAGAAAATTAAAATTTTTTGCAACATTATGCACATCTAAAAAGTGTGTTCATTATTTTATTAATATATATAACTTAAATAAAAATATAGTTATTTCTTTATTTATTATAATTATTATATTTTATTAGTTATTTATATAAATAATCCTTTATTAATAATATATAAATTAAGATATATAAATAAAAAAATTATATTAACCTTAAAATAATATTTTATTTCCTAATGTATTATTCTAATATATATATATATATATATATATAATATAAAATTAAGAAGTTATACAATTAATTATATATCATCAACTTAAAAACTATAATTTTTGTTTTATTTAAATAATAAAAAATATAATAATTATTGATTTCTAAAAATATATATTAATTTTATTTGTCTTCTATTTTGATTTATTTATTGATATTTTATATAAAAAAATAATAATTATATTTTAAATTTTTTATATTTAAAAAAAATAATAGTTTATCTATACTTCAATATAATTATTTTAAAGTAAAAATAAAAAAATTTAAAATTATTTAAATAATAAAACATAAAAATAATTTAAAACTTAAAAAAACACAAAAAAAAATGAGTAATCCATTAATGGGTAACATGTTAACTGAAGTGGTAATAATCTAAAAAAATAAATACACGTATATTCAAATATCAAAATAAATAAATAAATAGGTAATGGAAAAAGCCATACGTGATAAACTTAAATTATAAATGGGCTAAAACCAATAAAATAAAAAAGAGCCTAAAGGCATAGTAATAAAATCCCGTCAAACATAAAAATCTTGTGAAAATTCCGACCTTTCTGATGATGAATTTTTCGACGAAGAATCAAGAAAAATACTCGATAGAATGAAAGCTGAAAAAATTGACGAATTAAATAGAAATAATGCCCAAGTTTAGCAAAAGAAATAAGGAATAGGTGAGTATAGATAAATTAATGAAGATGAATTTTTATCCAGTGTTACTAAAAATAAATTTTCTGTAGTTCATTTCTTCCATAATGATTTCGAAAGATGTAAAATTATTGACAATCATTTAATTTAAATTGCCCAAATACATCCTGAGTGTAAATTCTTCTATTTAGATGCAGAAAAATCTCCCTTCTTCATACAAAAGTTGGCTATAAGAATGCTCCCGACAATCGTATGTTTTATCGATGGGGTAGCGAAGGACAGAATTATTGGATTTGAAGAACTTGGAGCCAAAGATGACTTCAAAACTATTGTTTTGGCAAGAAGATTGGTTAAAAGTGGTGTTATGGTACCTTAAAATAAAGACGAAAAAGGTTTTTCTATGAAAATTAATAAAACTAGAATTAATGAATATAATAGTGATGATGATTATTCAGATTGATTAAACAAATATTCTTCTTCTTTTTTTTATTTTTTAATAATTAAAACAAAAATATTTTTTATTTTTATTTTTATAATAATTAAAACAAAAAAAATTATCATCATTATCTTTTTTATTCATCAATTAAATTTTTTTAAGATATATCTTCATCATTAAAATTTTATAAAATAAAAATTAATTTATTAAACCCGTCTTTTTAATTATTATTATTATCATTTTTTCTATAAAATTCATCGTATTTTTCCCATATAAATTCTTCAGGGTTCTTAACCAAAAAAAATAACTCCTATTGAAATTTCAGTTTATTAAATTCATTTTCCTTATCCTCCTATCTTAATACTTAAATTATATTCTTAGTATAATTTTCTAAATATTCTTCTATAAATTAAGCGAATTTCTATTTTTCAATACTCTAAGTAATCACTTATAGAGTTATTATTGTCGCCTCTACGATTGTTTCTTGTATTTTTTATTCCATATATTACTTTATTTTTCTTTTCCAAACCTCGATGAGTCTATTATTTCCTTTTTTGAATAATGTTTTTAAGTATTAATCTTGTGTTTCTTTATCTTTAGAATTTTTTAGTAAATCTATGAAATTGTTTCTAAGGACTTTGTAGGCTATGGTTGCTAGACCAAATGATAGGATGATATTTTCTTCGATTAAATAACATATGATATCGTTTTTGAGAATTTTTGATATTTTTTAAGATGGCTTTTAGATTAGTTGAATTTTGTTTTGTTTTATTTAATGAAGGATTTATTATTTATCAATTTATTATTTTTATTTCATTTTAATTTTGTTTTAATAATCATAAGTAAATAAATAATAATTATTAGTTTTTTGTTATTACTATATTGCTTAAAATTTACTAAAAAAAAAAAATAGAAGTAAAAGCTAGTTAAAAAAAAATTAATATAGAATATATAAAGGTTAAATAAAAAAAATATCTTTTTTAAAAAAATAAAATGTAAAATATGATTATAAATTTAATTTTTGCTGTAGATTAAAATTTAACAAAAAAGCATTATTTATGATAAAATATATAATATTAAATATTTAACAATTAATTAGTTATTTATTTAAATAAATATTATAAAAAAAAAAAAATTTAAAAATATTATAAATGAATAAATAAATAAATATATAAATAAATGCATATAAATAAATAAATATAAATATAAAAATATAAAAATAAAAAAAATATATATATTTTATTATTATAAAAATAATAATATTTTAATATTTATGAATTTTTTTATTAAATATTTTTAGATTATCTTTTATATAATATAGAATTTATATAAAATACATTTTATTTATAATTGAAAATAAATTCTTTTTATTTAATTAAAATAATTTTTTTTATTTTTTTCATAAATAATAATAAAATTTTATAAATATAAAACTTATATAATTTTTTAATTGAATATAAATTTTTAATTTTTTACATTTAAATAAATTAATATAATTTAATATTTATTATATATTAAAAAAATAAATAAATCACATAATATTTAATCTATATATGAACTATTATTTTTACTAATCTTATTATAAAATTTACAAATTTTCTAATCTAAAATTAAATATTTTAATACATTACTTTTTTTTTATTATTTTTCAAAAAAATTATAAAAATATAATAAAAAGATTTATTACTTAAATTTTTTCTTTAAAAAGTTAATTAATATTAACATCTTCGTATAATTAAGTTTTTCTAAGTAAAGTTTTCCTTTCTGATCCTTCATTTTCACACATTCTTGAATTAATAGCTTAAGTATTTTTTATTTATTTAGATTAATTATCATTTATTATCTACAATCCATTAATAATTTTACCAAATATATACTCATAAGTCAAATTAAATAACTCACCTGAAAAACTACATATAACCTACATAATAGCAATAATATTAATTTTCGAAGTATTTTTGCTTTCTACATATTCCATATTTCTTATCCAATTTTTTATAAATTCATCAAGATTATATCCTTATTCTAAAAAATAATAAATCTATATATATAGATTTTTTTTATATAAATAAATTACACTAAATAAATTAGAAAATCTATAAATAATCCGCAATAATAAATCTATTAAAAATAGTTTACAAAACACTTCTAAAAGCCTAAATATATTTAATATTAGCATTAATTTTTTAATTAGACAAATCTTAAATAAGTAAATTTAAAATCTAAGTTTAAAACCCTTACCCTTCATTTAAAAAAACACATTAAGATGCCCTTTATTTAATAAAATTAAAAGCAAAGTCCCAATTAAATTAAAAGCAGTTAATTTAATTTAAACACTCTAATATTCATCTACTTCAGTCCCATTTTATGCATAATTATTTGCAATTTCATATTTTTTTAAAATAAAATGCATAATCTCAACAGAATCACAACTTATAAACCCCAAAAGTAAATATTCTTCAATAATACTAATACTTTTGACAATAGAAAGCTCTTCTTGACTTTAAATTAATAATTAGATGTGTTTTATAAAATTTATTTCATCTCATTTTCTATATTTTGGTTTATTTAATATTCTTTTATAATAAAATGCCATAATTTTAATATGTTAGGATCTAAAACTCTCTTAATTAACACATTATCTATAAATTATAAAGAAAGTTTATACATCTCTGGCATATAATGTCCTCTAGGCATACAGGCTATCAAATTCATAAACATATCCACCAGAGCTTCTTTTAATAGATTATTTTCTGTTTTTATTAAATCCAATAGAGCTTTATTATTCAAAAGATCGAACAACTATTCATGTTATCCTTCCGCTTTTTATAAAATCAATGTAAGAAACTATATTAAAGGCCACTAAGTTGATGGCTACTCGAATTTTCCAAGAAGAGATTCAATAACAGGTGCTAGTTTAGAAATGATATTCGCAAAATCTAACTAGACATTATTTTTAATAAGCTTTTAAATACAAATACAACATTAAAATTATATCGAAGGTCTATTATTTTCATTAATAATTTAAAGTAAAATTTAATAAATTTAAGTAAGTGTATTTGGAGGTAAATAAATGAACCATCTAGAGATTAAAATGGGAATTCTTTTGGATGAAAAAGGTAGTTTTTTTATATTAAAATATAAGTATTCTAATAACGAAAAAAAGTTAATTATTTAAGTAGGTTCTACGTTTAATTTTTTTAATTATTTTGGAATTAAACCTACTAAAGCGAATATTCCATCTTAATATTATATATCTATACATGTGTAATTTGCTTTTTTTTTATTATTATTATTAATATATTTTTTTAATTTTTTACATTCAAGTAAATTATTCATTAATATTTATATTAAGGTTATTGTTTTTTCAGGAAAACGTATAGTAAGTTACTCTACTGCTGAAATGGCTAAATTAAAAATTGAATTTTCACAAATATCAGTTTCTAAATCTAAGTAATTTTCCTCATCTTCATCTTATCTTTCTATTTCTTCATCTTCTTTATTCCCTGAGGTGTAAAAGTTAGGGAAGATTTTTTAAATCGCCATATTTAAGATATTTTCGATTTCATTTTAACTGAAAAAACTCACAAATTATTAATTACAAATCTATTAATATTATTTTAATTGTTCTAAATTTTTATTCTTTAAATTTGCTTATATATAGTTTTCATTATTTGTATAATAAACAAATTATTTACAAGTTTTATAAAGTGTAAAAAATCCGCATTTAACTAAAATTTCGCTCTTATATTTTTCTGTTTAAGTAACTAAAATTTAAATCAAGCTTAAATATTCTTATAATATTTTATAAAAGGCAAGAGGATATTATACTTAGATTTTAGTTAAACCCAAAAGAAGTATTTTTAATTCTTTTTCAAAAAGTTCATTTAAATCTTAATTTTATTAATTTTCTTCTAGTTTATTTAATAAGTCGGAAATTTTTAATAATAAACATTGTATTATATGTGTTACTGATTCCCTTATTTATTTATTTTTAAAAATAAAAAATATATGTAAAATATATTTTTTATTTTTAAAAATACATCTATTAAATAATATTAAAGTTGGCTGAAAGTATTGAAAAACACATCATTTTATCAAGCGAACATGATGTTTTGGCCAATAACAAATATTATTTATTACTAGGATGTATTTATTATATTATAGTATTTATTTGTTCCCATATAGAGTATATAATTGTAGTTAATTTACTTTATTATTATGTATGTTGTATTTATTTTTTTTATTATTCTTTTAAAACATTTTAAAAAGTTTTAAACAAATTCTATGTTTATTATTAAAATAAAATTTCTATGTTTCTTTCTTGTAATTAAATCTATATTTATTGCATTAATTATTCAATATAAACATATAATTAGCTAAATATTAAAGGATGATCTCCTTTTACTATTAGGCATAAACAATCATTTAAATGTTTCCGAAAACTAGGAGACTATATTGTATTTAGCATATTTATTAAATATTCTCGAATTTATTTTTTCGGTTATTCACATATAGGATCTTTAAATTTTATATTTTTAAGAAAAATAAATAAATATATATATTATATATATATTATATATATATATATATATATATATATCATTTTTTAACTTTTTTTTTACTTTTTTTTTATTCTATTGGTTTTTTCCAATATCTTTTTATTACATTTTTTAAATACATAAAAGAAGATAATTTAATAGTTTAATCCTTTTTTAAAAAATATTAAATTTATAATAAATAAATAAATAAATATATTTTAATTTCATTTATTTTTTTATTTACATTTGATTATTCATAAATTTATAGTAACATTAATGGAAAATATGGATGAAACTCTTTACTTAATAAATAATCATTTGCTTGTTATCTTATATTTTCTTACTGAGAATTATAAAATGATTTTAAACATTCTAAAATTTCACTTTCATTAAGCTATTCTATTTTTTATTATTAATTTATAATATTCATATTTTATTTAAAGTTCAATAATTTATTTATATAATATTTTTTGTCTTATTAATATTAATATCATTATTAGTAAAAAAATAAATAAATATAAGTATATAATTATATATGAATTTATTTTTAATAAATACAAATTTTATTTTATTTTTAGTATTTACATTAATATAATAATAAAAGTAGAAAAACTAAATATTTTATTAAAAAAAATAAAATAGAAAATATAAAGAAGAGAGAAAATATAATAATAATTAAAGAAATAAAATTAAAGATTATATTTTTATAAAGACAAACAACAATATTGTTATTTAAAAAAAAAAAAAAAAAATCATCATTTAATTAATTTTTAATTATTTTACTATCTTATTTCTTAATAAAATTTTTCTAAATGAAACATAAAACCTCCATTAGGATTAACTTCTTTTCTATGTTTTTTTATTTCCTAATAAGCTTCTGAGCATCTAATATTTTCTTTTTTCATTAAATAAGCTATACAAATAGTAGGACTTCTTGAAACTCCTTTGAAGCAATGAACCAATACATTAGTTTTTTCCAAATTTTCATTAATAAATTCATATGATTCGTAAAAGTCCTTTTTTATATCATAAGTAGAACAATCACTTGCGCATATTTTATGATGATTTATTTATGTATTTTACTCATACTATAATTCGTCACAATCTTATACTGTTAAAACTGCTTTTATATTATTTTCTTTCAAAAAAGCTAAGTCACATGCTGCTTTTATACCACCTAAATATAAACAACCATGCTTTTTTTCATTATTATGAGGTTTTATTTAATATACCATATCTGCATATGAAGGATTTTCTTATACGGGCTATTCGTCAAGTTGTTCGTTATTTTAAATTATGTTTTAATTCATTTTTTTTTTATTTATTTGATTTTTTTTTTTCTCTCTTATTTTTTTTATTTTTTTTATTCTTTTTTTTCTTTATTAATATATTTTTTTTTTGTATAAATAATTTTTTAGATAATATAAGTTAATGTTTTTAATAGCCTAGTTTTAAATATTATTAAGATTTTTTTAATAAAAAGAAATAATGTTTATCATTTAATTATAATAATCGAAATTAGATTAATAAGATTCACATTTTTATTAATAGATTTATAATACTTAACAAATATTATATTAATGTCAAATTTAACTCTAAGCTAGTATTATTTGAGTTTATAAATTAGACTTATTTATTATTTAATATAATTTTATGAAGATGAATTAATTAAAATAACTTTCTTAATATTTTATTATTTCTCTAATTTTTATAAAAAATTAAATATGGTGAAAAAAAAAATGGATCATGGTCTTATTTTTTAGATTAGGGTTTTATAAAAAAAATAATAATAAATATTTTATTTTTGATAAAAATAAAAAATTAATAATTCTATATATTTAATCTACATATATATATATTAATATTTTAATATTTTCCATAATAAAATAAAAATAAAAAATATAATTAATTATTAAAAAGTTTTAAACATAAAAATTATTAAAATATTTAATTATAATATTCTATTTATAATAAAAAAAATTATTTTCAAGATTATTTAATTTATTAATTATAATTAATCTAATTTTAATTTACAAATCTTAATTAAAATCGTTATTATAATAAATTAACAATTATAAAAGGTAGCATCAATTGTTAATATATTTTTAAAAAGTAGAAAATAGTATATTAATTTTAAATTAAGATTTTAAAATCAATCAATAATAAAATTTCTAGTATTATTTAGAAAATAATTAAATAAACTAAATTAAACTATTAAATAAATATATATATATATATATTAAAAAGGTAAATTTTTTGACAATTTTTTTTAAATAAAAGTATTATTAAACAATTATTCTTTTTCATTGATATTTTATATGTAAAGATACTTTTAATAAGTTTTAAAATCAACTAAATTTAAAATCCTAATTAGTTTATATTTTATTAAATATAATTTTTTAAGTATTTGGCTTTTTAATTTTATTATATCACCTGAATTATTTTTTTCACATTAAAATTTCAATTATTTATATAATTTTTTTATAAAAATAACTATTTTTTTAATTTCAAAAAATTTTTAAATTAGTTATTTTATTTTTAATTTTTACAAAAAAATCATATTTTATAATATAATTTAAATTCTTAAATTTATTTTTAAAAAAGAGATAAAATTAGATGATTAAAAGTAAAATTAATTATGCCAAATAATTTCTAAAAGATAAAGAATATAATGAAGGGATAAATCATTTAATATAATGTTTAGTAATTGATGAAATAACAGATTAATAAATATCAAGAGTTAATTACATAATTTCTAATTATTATTATGAAAATAAAATTACTAAGAATCGTACTAATATGCAATAAATAGTATTATTTATAATCATGAATATGAAAAAAGACAATAACTATTATTTAATATATATAATGAATTATTAAATATTTAGGATTTTAACTAAAGATAATAAATAATAAAAACAATAATAAATAAAATAAAAGAAGAAAAAAATTAAAAATAAATAATTTAATAAATAATAAAATTAGAAATTAAATAAAATAGTGAATAATATATAAATTAATTATTTTTATAATAAGAATTCAAATACAAAGATTTATTTTAATTTTTAGAAATTTTAAAGTTCGAAAATGAATATATACTTATTAAATTAATTTAAAAAGAAAACATATAAAAAATATTTACAAGTAAAATTTAAAAAGAGAAAACTTTAATAAAAATAATGGACATTTTTCAAGAAATTTTCTAATAAAATAACCAAATTATAATAGAATAAATAAAAAAAGAAATAAAGGATGATAAAAACACCATTTTATTTAAATTTTTAATAATTTAATATATAAATAATCATAATTTTGGAAAATAAGAATGGTTTTTAAATATTATTGATGAATATTTTTAAAATAATACTATAAAAGAACTTTAATTGTTATACATATGTAGTTTTAGTGAATAATTATAATTAATTTTGTTTTAAGAAAATATTCAAAAAAATATAATAAATAAAATAAATGAGATCGAAAATAAATAAGAAAGTATAATTTTATTAAAAATATTGACAAATTTTTCTGAAAATGATATTAAAAACAATAAAAATGTTGATTTTTTGATTAAAAGCTTATAAATTATTCTAAAAAAAAATCAAAAATTAGAAAATGAGTTTTTAGATTAAATTTTGGAAATTTTTTCTAATTTTTTAAAAAGTTTACATATAGAATTAATATATTTTTCGATTGAATTTTTGAATATATTTTGTTTATAATAAAATTATTTACATAATATTATTGAAAATAATTAAATAATAAAATAAATATTCTAGATTTAAGAATATTTATTTAATTTATATGCAAAAAAATAGTTAAATGAATTTATATCGGAATTGTTTATTAATTTATATAATATATTATCAATTTTAAGTTTAAATAGTAATTTTTTAGCAAAAAAAATTAAAAAATGTATCATGAATGATTAAAAAACTATATATTTGCTGATAAAAAATTCTAATAATGATTAAAAAAAAATTAAATTTATAGGAAAAATATTATTTATGTAATAAAATTTAGCAAATAATGCAATTACAAATTAATAAAAGAAATATATAAAAAGTTTAATTGGAAATATAAAAATTGAAAATAAAGTATTAAAAGAATATTTAGATTATGTTTTAAATTGAGAAAAAAAAAAAAATATATATATATATATATATATATATATATATATATATTTATATAATAAATTTAATATATCAAAATACTCATAAAAATAAATAATTCTATTTATAATTTTAAATTTATATTATTATTTATATAAAACAAAACGAAAAATATATATATATAAATATACTTTAAAAATTAAATTAATGTATTTTCTTACAAAAAAAAATAAAAAAAATTTATTAATTCATTTTCTTATTTATATTTCCTAATTATCTTGTAAATTATTAGTAACTCGTTCAAGAGCATTTTCATACTAATCTTTTAAAATAACAAGTATTTATTAAGTATTAAATTCATTTTCAATTTAATTTTAATAATTATATTTGTTTTTATTTTTCTAATTAATTTATAAAGTATTAAGTTATTCATTTAAATCTTATAAGAATTAATCATCATTGATATTTTTATCATTATTTGAATTTTCTCTAACTTAGAAAGATTATGGGTTTTAAGGATTTTGTAAATAATCCTATTAAATTATAATATCTTTAGCTGTCGAAACATTGGAATCTTCTTAATATTTTTTTTAATTTAAGAAATAATACACTAATAATTATTTTATTTTAAATCAAATTATTATTAAATATCTTAAATAATTTAATCTTTGTAATTTTCAAATTAACTTCTTAATAAATTAATTTCTTTTTTAAACTTTTATATTTCCCTTTCCAGACATCCAAATCTTTTTTTAAGCAAATAATATAGCTTTTATTCTCTTCATTTTCTTTATTTTAATTATGCATTTATATAATTCTCTTTTATTACTCTACTTTTATTTCTAATAATTCATTTACTAATTTGTCTTTTTCCTCAAATATTAATTCACTTAAATTTTGTATTTACTCTTTTTCTTTTACTAATTCTTTTATTATATTATCTTTTTATTAGGTTATATCGTTTATTAATAAATATTCCTTTTAATTAATTGTAATATAATAATTTATTATTTTTTAAAAATACTTATAATAATTATTAAATTTTCTATTCATAATAATTCCTTATTTCTTCAAATTCTTATTAATAGTTAATATTTTATTTTTCCATTTTATTTTTTAATTCTAAGAAAATTTAATTATTAATTTATTAGGTTGCACTTTCATTTACTTTTTTTTTCAAAATTTTAATTTATCTAACATATTCATTTAATTATTAATTCAAGAAAATTACCTTATCTAACATATTATTTTGTCCATCTATTAATGATCTTTCTTATTAACTATCTGTAAGTTAAAAATTACCATATTTATCTATTTTTACAGATATATTTACCTTTAATTATTAGCTACTTTTTAAAGATGAAACTGATTATTATTAATTTGGATTATTTTACATATTTACTTATTAGTAAATATTATTTTCTTATGTGCTTTTTTATAATTAATTTGATGATTAAATATTTTTTGAATAGAAATTTAAATTTATTTACTATTATTAGGGTTATAAATCTGTACTTTAAATAATATTTTATTAATTTAATAATTAAAGATTTCTGTTCTAAGAAGAAGATAATTAATTTAAACATAATTTATATTATATACTTTTATCAATTGTTTATGATTAAATTTAGATAAAAACATTCTAATCGAAAATTTAATCGTCCTATTATATTTATTCATTAAAATTATTTATTGAATCGCTTGATTATTTTTATTTCTAAAAATTTATTAATTATTTATTATTGTATTTAGTGTATGGGAAAAATTATTATTATTATTATTATTATTATTATTATTATTATTATTAATATTATTATTATATTTAATATATTTATTATTATTAATTATTTATTATTTATTTTTATGAATTGTTTTCTTTCTCTTCTACTTACGAACCAAATAAAATTTATAATGAACTTTATTATTATGTTTATTATTAATTATTATTTTATTTGTCTATTTTATATTAATTTATTTAATTTTATAATTAACTTTCTTATTATGTTTATTAAGATATTTATTATTACATATTTTGTTCATTTTATTTATTTAATAAATGTTTTTTTAAACATTCTTATAAATTTTATTATATACTATTTTAATTTAAAAAAGAGTTTTCTTATTACTTTTATTAAGATATTATATATTATTATTATTAATAATTAGATTATATATTTTGCTATAAATTTATTTATTATTATATTTGATATTTTTTTTGTTAATCTTATATTTTTTAAATTTATTATAATTAGGTATTAATTACACTATTATCTTAAACTTATTATTATTAAGAATTAATTAATTATTAATTTTAATAATCATTTAAAGTAGAATTTTATAATTATTATTATTATTATTATGATTCAATTATTTATTATTATGTATTACTTAATAATTATTATTATTTACAATTAATAGATTATCTTTATTAAGTATTACATTAGGAAGTATTATGTATTTATTATTATTAAAAATCTAAATTATTATTTTTTTGATTAAAAAGAATAAATTCATTATCTAATAATTCCTTATTGTATTATTAATGTGATCTTAAAGAGAGTTCTAGTGTTTCTTTATTCAATTATTTATCATTTATTTGCATTGAATTCGAATATTTTTAACGAATTTATTAATTTTTTATTGATTGTTATTAAAGAAGTTATTCATGAATTTCTTATTTTTTAAATTCTTCTCCTTTTTTTTGTTTATTATAATATCTTAAATTTAAAGTTTATTCTTTGAAAATATTAGGAAATTTTGAAAATTAAATATTCTATAAAGATTTTTATTTTTTTCTTATAAAAAATAAATTTATTATTAATAAAAATTTACTTATTTTTGTTGATTATTTTCTTAATAAATATAATATTATTAATTGAAGTTTAAAGAATTAAAACTTTCTTCATTTTAAAAACTAACATATAAAGGTTCGTTTCTTGTATTTGTAGATAAGGACTATGCTCTATTTTAAATAATAGATTATATATTTTATTATTATTATTATTTTATTTATATTTTTTGTTTATTTATTTCTATTTCTGAATTTATTTCTTTTTAATTTAAAGTTTTTATTTATTACTCTTATACATTTATATTTTCTTATTGATTATTTAAATTACCAAAAAGTTTGTTTATTTATTATTTCTCATTTTTATTATTATTAGTTGATTTAGACATTCCTCTTAAATTATTTCTTTTTTTTTTATTTAATTTTTATTCATTTTCTTAATTTTCTATTTCTTTATCTTTTTTTATATCTTCATCTTTTTTTTATTGTTCTTTTTTTTTTTTTCTTATTCCTCTTCATATTCAACATCTTCTTCTCCTTCCTTTTCTTCTTATTCCTAACTTTATAATTCATATTTTCTGTTTGATTTCTTCTTCAAATCTTCTGTCCATTCTTCTTACACTAATTTTTCGTTTTCTTAAATTATTTTTGAAGACTCTTTTATATTTTTATTATTTTAAGGGCTTATTACTTATTCACCTTTTATTCTTTTTTATATAATCTTGTTTTCATTATTTGAATGTTTATCTTCATTATATTATTCTATAATATGATGAATTATATGTTCATAATTTTGCTTTTATACCTAAACTTCTTAATTTTCATATTTTTAAAGTTAAATACTTTACATTTTTAAAGAATATTTTACTGAATCAATAATACTATTATCTATATGATCATGTAAAATATTAATTTACTTTATATTTTGTTTATAATATATTATAATATAATTATTTATATTTCATACTTAATTTAGTTTGGTTATATATTATTTCAAATCTTCATTTTCAGTTTTAAGTTCAGAATTTTCAATCATAAAAATTTCAATTTATTAAAGTTAGTGTTCAAGAGTATTATCTCTATCTTATATATTTTTCGAAAAAATTTTAATTCTTTTATTTAGTTCTTCTATAGATTCCTTATATTAGTTATTTTATTCCTATTAAATTAGTTTTTGTTCTAAATCAGTAATTTTTCTTTCTAAGCTTTTTATCTTATAAATATTATATTAATTCTTTAAATCTATATCATCAAATCGTATTTAAAGTTTCTCTTTTTCTAATTTTAAAATATCGATTTCTTAATTTTTACATTGCATTTCTTCTTTTTATTAATCTATATATTAACGCATTTGTTCTTATTTTTCATAACATCTCTGTATTTCATCTTAAGCATTTTCTATTTCTTTCATTGCTTATTCGAATTCACTTCCTAATATGGCTACACTGTCTAAAGCTTTATTTTAAACCCATTTTCTGTTAGGAGATACATCTCTATTTTTATTTTAATAGCTATTTTTATTTTTTAGTTTTTACTTTTTTGTAGAAGAAGCTTGCATGCTTGGACTTTTGTTATTACTGACTTAAAGTTGTCTTGGAGGTGTTATTGGCTCGAGATTTTATTAACCTGATATTGATAATTTTTTTAATGTTTTTTACATTTTTTAACTATCTATTTAATTTTTTTTATATATTTTATTAATTTTTTTTTTTTTTTTTTATAAAATTTATTTGAGTGTGTTTTTTTTATTTATTTTTTATTTTCGTTAAGACATATTTTTTTTTTACTATTATTTAATTTTTATTTCTTTTTGTATAAAGGTTATATTTAAAATTTAATATTTTAAAAATTCTATAAATAGATTTATATATTATTTAAAATAATAGAAAAACTATTTATTATATTTTATTTTATTGTTTTAATAATTATAAAAAAATAGAATAAAATAAAATTATTTACAACTTGAAAAAAAACAATTAAAAATTTTAATTTTATTTTTTATACAAATAAAATTCTATATTAAAAATAAAATGTAAATTACAGATATTAATATATAAAATTTATATATTAACTTATTCTATTAATATTTATGATATGAGGAAATTAAAAAAAAATATTAATTAAACTTAAATTTATTAGATTAAAAATATAAAAATATCATAAATATTTAAATATTAAAAAAATACATATGATTAAAAAAAATAAAATATTATAAATATATAAATAAATTATTAAAAAAACTTAAAATAAATTTTAAAAATAAATTAATAATGAATACATAAAACTCAATATTAAAAAAAAATATATATATATATATATATATATATATATATATATATATATATATAATATATTTTTTTTAAATATTTCTTTTAAATATATCATTAAAAACTTTATTTTTATTAAACTAAAAAGAATTATCAATTTTAAGGATATTATTCTAGAAATAATAGCTTTTATTTTTCCACAAGTTTCATTAAATCTTTAAACTATTCATTCATACCTTCATAATTAAGTACAGCAACTACACTAATTCTCGGTCCGAATTTTCCTGTAAAAGCTTTTCCCAATCTAGCCCTATTACAAGCATGTATAACAGTAATATTTTTACTTTATGCTAATTATATAATTTATACAACTAATTAATCAGATCCATTATCAAGAGGACAAATCTATAGATTAAGAGCAACAATAATACATTTAGGTTTTCTATCTTTATTTGAAGATTTTAAAGCTGAAAGTACTTCTCGAAAACCTGCAACTATTCTCTTTTTAGCTTTTTTTGGTTCTTTTAATTTCTTCATAGCTTGTTTATATGCTAATTCATTTATTAAAATTAAAATTTGATTATCTATTTCTTAACAAGGAATATTATCTACCCAACTAATTTTTATTTTTTTAATTTTTAATTTTTTGTTTATTTATAATTTTTTTTTTTTTATTTACTATCTTAGTGTCATATTATTGTATTTTTTTCCTTCAAGGCATTTTTTTATATTTATATTTTGTATTAAAAATTAAGGGATTTCTTTTATTTTTTCTTCTTCTTCATTTTCAGTTATATATTCATTATCTTCTTGTGATTTTTCTTCATTGTTTTCAACTTTTTATTGAATTTGCATTTCTTTGTAAGCTTTTAGAGCTAATTTAATTTTTGATTTTTTCTTCTTTTTCTTTTCAATAAGTTAAAAATCTAATTAATTTGCAGGAACGGCTTTATATTTAATTCTTTTATTCAAATGAGGATTTTAGATACCTCTTTAAGCTCTAAAAACAGCTATTTCTTTGGAAATATTTTTGATATAATTTAATCTAGTAAGTTTTTTTAAAAATCGTTTTCTTCTTCTTTCATTGTTTTTCTCTTCAAGTTCTTTTTTTAACTTTTCTTATTATTCTTATTTTTATTTAATAGTATTTTTTAATTCTTTTTATTATTATTCATATTATTTTAATTCATTTTCTGAAAAAATATTGCTTTCCCAATTATCTTTTGGAGCTTTTAAACTGTTTAATAAGTTTAGTCTTTCTTTTAATTATTCAAGTGTTTCTTCAGGTTATTAACTTTTTTTTTTTTTTCTTATTTTTTTTCTTCTTCTTTATTTCATTATCATATTTTTACTTTTATTCATCAGGTTTTTCATCTTATTATGTTATTTCAGTTTATTATTATGTTTAATTTTCTTAATTTTATTAAGGATTTTTTATAGAAATTCTTATTTATTTTTAGCTTTTTTATATCAATTTTTAATTTTCTAGAAGATTTTCAGACTAATTTTTATCAGAAATTTAAGGCTAAATTTGGATATTTTATTAATCTTTTGTATTATTAGATTATATATTTTCGTTTTTTTAGTTATTGTTTTGGCTTTTATTTATATTAGAATTTATAATTTGGTTTGTATTTAATATTGAGTTCTGGCTTTTATTTTATATTTTATTTTAGACATTGTCTTTTTTTTAATTTCTTTCGGCTTTATATTTGTTTGTGTTAATATCTTAATTTAAATCTTATATTTACTAAATAATTATGTTTTAGTTTATATTTTTGTTATTTTATTTTGGTTAATTATTATTATTTAAATTATCATTTACATTTTTTTTTTTTTAACTTTACCTGCCTTTAGTTTAAAAATCAGATTATTTTTGATTAATTTCAGAAAAACTTGCTTATTATTCTTAGTTTTGGATAAAAGTTGGGAAAATTGGAGTGAATATTGATGATTGTATATTTAGTTTCTTTTAATTAATTTTTTATATCATAAATTCTTCTGGAACAAATTATGAACTTGCAAATTTCATTTACTTTTTTTATACATTTGATGTATTTTAATTATTTAATTAAGGTAAATCATTTTTCTAAATATCAATTAATTATTATTAATCCATAAAATATTTTTTTTAATTTTTTTATTAAAAAAATATGTTTTTATTTATATTTTTCTTATATAAACAAATTAATATAAATAAAGGTATTTAATAAAATAAATTTTATAAAAAAGAATGAAATAATTATAATTTAATTTTCTTATAGAAAAAATAAAAATATAATAAAATTTATATTAAATAATGAAAAATGATATAAGATAATATATATATAATATTAAGATAAACATATTTATTAAAATATATATATATATAATATATTTATATATATATATATATATATACAATTTAATTTGTTATATTTATTTAAAAAATATTTATAATATATTTTTAATAATATTATTTTAAGTTTTTTTTTTAAAAAATGAGTTCTAATAATTAATCTTTTACCGAAAATTAATGTTTTCAATAAAATAAATAAAATTATAAAATCAAATAAGCTATAAGACTAAAAAGCAAATCACAATAAAATAGATGTAAAGAAAAATATTATGTTAACTATTTTGTATCACATAATTAATCCAGTTAATTATTATTTGCAAGCTAATAAGGTATGAATATTAAAAACTCATATAAATCTGAATAAGATGAATACATCCTTAAAAAAAAAATTTAAAATGAATATTAAGCAGAATCATTTTAATTTGATTAAGCATTTGGAAACAATATAAGGTATTCATTTTTAATTTTTATTTTTTTAAAGAAAAATTAGTTAATGTCAATTATATAAAAACTATTTTTAACAATCAGTATAATAGTTATTTCAAGGAATAGATGCATGTTTTTTTATTCATGGTTCTTCAAGGTAAATAATAACTATATTTTTTTACAACAATAAAAAATATAGTTCTGGAAAAAGCTATACTTTAAGTGGAAATGAATAAGAAAAAGGAATAATATTTTTATGTTGCGAAGACATAATTAATTTATTATAATATCAACAACTGTATTAAAATTAAAGTTAAGATTTAATTAATTTTCGAGTTTCAATATATTCTATATATAAAAACTAAATATATGATTTATTATGTCCAAATAGTAAAAATATAGAACAAATGGTAAAAAATATTTAAATTTACACTTATTAGTATATAATACAAAAAATAAAAAAAAAAAAGAAAAAAAAAATAATTTAAAAAAATGAAAACGAATATAAAATAAAGAATTTAAATAAACGTAAAATTAGATAAATTGAAGATTTTAAATAAATATATTCACTTGCAATATAAAATCTCCTTTCAGTAAGCGAAATTTTAAACGAAAAAAATTTCTATGGAAAATCCCATTTTATAATAAAATTTGACATAACCTAAAGTTTACTTGAAGAATCGATCCTTTCATTAAACTCGGAAACAACAAAACATTAAAAATTAACAATTATAAGATTAGCTGATACTGATATATAAAATGAAAGAGAAGGAAGTAATAATAATAATATAGGAAATGAATATTTAAGAATATTAAAAAGAATATTTTTTAATAAATATATATTATAAGATTAAATTAATAATTTATTTGTTTAGAGCTTAAGTTAGAATATTAATGAAAATAGCAATTTTTAAATACTTTTTTGTTTAAATGAAAATCCTTTGAATTAAGAATAAGATATGAATGATATTATAGAATTTTAGAATTTATTTTAGGAACTTAATTAGACTAAAAAAAAGAAAAAATATAAAATTTTACTGAAAATTCTTTACAAAATTTTAATATTTAAGCATTAACTTAAGAAAATAATCCAAGTTCTACTCAAAACTTTACAAGGATTGATAGTTAGAGAACTTCTAGATATTAAAGTAATTTATTCGAAAAAATTATTGGAGAAAGTGAAGAATTAGTAGCGAATATTTCCAGAAGTTAAAATAATTTAGAAAATATAGATTTAAATAGAAAATAAATTTGGTCTGATGAAATGATGAAAAAAATAAAAACTCTTTAATCTTAAATTTAAAAAGAATAATCTTAAAATAAAAATTAAACTAATTTTTCTTATTGCGAATCTTTACTTTAGAATGCTTATAATATGCTATAGAGAATTAATAGAAAGTATATATTTTTTATTTATTTATTTATTTTTTTTAAAAAAAAAACAAATTAGGAATATGAGTTTGGATATAAATAACTTTAAAGAATAGAAAATAAATATTTAAGAAAATTCAAAAGATATATAATAAAATATTAAAAGAAAATAAAATATTATAGAAAACGAAATAATAAAATAATAAACATAATATAGCTATTGTGACGATTAAATTATATAAACATCTAATGTTTAAATAAAAGAAAAATTAAAACATATTGAAGAACTAAAATAAGAAATTATATAATTATAGAATGAAGCAAAATTAAATAAAAATAAAAATAAAGATTTCGAATTGAAAGAAGAAAACTATAAAAAAATGGAAAAATAATTAAGAGAAATGAACGAAATGATACGATAAAAATGCCAGAAAAAAAAGATAAAATTAAGTTTTTGAAATAATAATTATTAAATTAAAATAACAATAACAATAATAAAAAGTAAAAAGAAAATATATAAAATAAAAATATTTTTTTTAATATTAAAACAAACAACTAGCGATTCATATTAAATAACTTAAAAAAATAAATAACTTAAGAATAAAAGTATAGATTTTAATCAAAATTTGAGTTAAAAAAATTCATATATAGAATAAAATACAGAAAAGTAAAATAATTAAGAAATTACTTATCAAGTCAATGCTTTATTAAAAAGAGTTGAAGAACTAAAAGATTTGAATATTACTTTAGAAGCAAAAATATAAAAGGATAGAGCTTTATTTGAAAATTAAAAGAAAGATTTCAAAAATTAAATCGAAGAAGTTAAAAATAGAAAAAAATAAAACAAAGGAGAATATTAATAGATAATAAAAGAATTAGAATAAAAAATAGAATTATTAAAAACTGAGAATAGTTAATTAGAAAATATAAATCCAAAAGACTATAAATATAAAAATTAAATCAATGACCTTTAAGAATAAGTAAATTTTTATTTTTTTATATTTATATATTTTTTTAATAATAAAAAATAGAATGATGAATTATAAATTTAAAATAAAAAATATTAATTTATTATTAAAGATTTGGAAGAGTAATTATAAAATTAAGAATAATAATAAAATGAAGATTAAAATTAGATTAAAAATGTATATATTATCTTTTATTTAAATTTTTTATTATTTAATAGTATAAATAAAAAAGTGATAGCTAAAATTAAATTATTTCTGAACTAAAATAAACCTAATAAGAACTTGAAATAAAATTATAAAAAGCTTAAAATTCATAAAATAATGTAGTCTTTTTTTTATTTTAATTATTTATATTATAAATATAAAAAGGAATTATAAATTATTGAAAAAAGAGTAGATGACTTGGTTGAATAAATAACTTAACAAAAGCAATTAAACGAAGAAGGAAAATAAAAAGAAGAAAAATTTAAAAAAGACATTTAAAATTTAAATAATAATATAGAAAATTTAAAAGAAAAATACTACAAAGTTAAACATTAAAATAAATAACTAAAATAATAACTTAAAGATGTAAAAAATATATATCTATTTTAAATTTTATATAAAAAATAGTAATAAGATGTTAAAATAAATAATAATCAAACAGGAAAGGAAAATAAAGAAAGACAAAAATCTTGGACATCTTTAAGATCTTAAGAGTCTAAAGAAAATAAATTAAGAGTATTTAAATATAAAAAAAATATATAATATTAATTCATATATATTTATATAATATTTTTTATTTCATTATTTTATAACAGGTTTTAGAAGAAATATAAGGTTTAATCTAGAGTCATAAATAAAGTAAAAAAGAATGAAAATAATTATAAACTTAATAGTATAAATTAAAAAAATATTTATAATAAATGAAAAATATTATTTATTAAATAAATTATTTTTTATTAATTTAAAACTAACAAAAAATACATTAATTTTTTTTTTTTTAATTAAATAAAATATTTAATTCATAAATAAAAATTATAATATTAATATTTTCAAATATTTGTTTTATTTATTATCAATAGCCGATAATTTGATTAATTAAATTTTCACATCCTTCAGGGATATCAGTTTCTTAAGCAACTGATTAAGCAATAACTAAAGCAGTCTTTAAAACAAAAAAATATTTTTAAAACAAAAAAAAATATAATATTAAAAATACTTAAAGATCAACCAATTTAGCTAAATACAATAATAAATGAAAATCTGAATATTTTTCAAAAGATTTTTAGTTTTTGAATTTTTATAAATATTTTTTAACTTCCATAGGCTATAATATTAAAAAAAAATAAAAATTTTAAATAAAATATAAAAATACGCTTTATTATTATCTATTAGCAACAGGAAAATCTGCATGTTTAATAATCGAAAACTTATTATGATTAGAATGTCCATGGGCAACATTTACAATGAAATAATCAGGTTCAAATTCTTTAACAGTCTTTCCCCCGACAATAATTTACGGTAAAACATCAGTATCATTAACCGGATCTCTAATTTACATGAATTTTCTTCTTTCACTTTCTCCAAATATATTATTTTTTTCCATTATCTAAGCCTAATCTGACACCATATAGACTTCAGGTCTAACTTCACTTGGATTATCTTTACCAGTTCTAAGTACTACACTAATGAAAGTGGAAAAAGGATACCCAGATTCATGTAGAACTCTATATTATTCTTAATATTTAGCCGCCATTCTAATTTCATGTGAGCAAAGGAATGTATCATGATTGATGGTAGTAAAAGCCCAACCTATTTTTTCCAAAGTAAGTGCTTCAGCGATTTAATCAACATATTATTCATATTCATCATATAATAATTTGAAACCTGAAATATCACCTACTTATGGAGGTTCATATATTGCTTCTATTATTGCCCTTACACCTCCTTTATAATTCGGATCTTCAGCATAATATCCATATAAAAAACCCATTTTTTATTATGTGTGAGACGTCTAAGTCCATGATTATACGAAATTTGAAATCTCCTTCACATTCATAAATTAAGCAAAATCTACATGCCTATATGGCTATCTAGCTATTACGCAACTTGGAGGAAGGCATTTATTACACATTGCTTTTGGCCAAGCCTCGTGATTTTTGCAAGTTGTGTCAACTGTCATTCTTTGCTTTTTTATATTTTTTTAGAGAAAAAAATAATATAATAATTTTTACTTCTGAAGGAGGCAAGCAATTCGAGCATATTCCATCTAAAGGGTGTTAGCCTTTACATTTAGATTTTTTTTCTTCTAAAAAATAGGTAAAGGATACGTGCTTTACATTTTGAATCAATTCAGAATTTATACAATGTGAGCATTTACCTGTAGGACCATGCTAACAATTCCATTTTTACCTTTCTTGTTTTTCATCTTCCTTTTTAGATGTATCAATACAATTTAAACAACTTCCTTGAGGACCATGATTACATTTTCTTTTTTTTATATATATATATATATATATTTTTTTTTTCTTTATTTAGAAGTGTTATTTTATTATTTTTTACTTTGTTTCTTATACTTTTAAATCTTTTTTATCGCTTTAGACTTAGCTTGTATTTAAACAATTTATGCATCTTTAATTAATGGTATGATTACAAGTGGAAGAAAGAATTCTTTATTTTTTTATTATTGATTAATTTATTTTTTGATTTTTTACATTTCATTTTATTTTTTTTCTTTTAAATGAGGGCTTTTTTGTTCAATTTCCATTTTCTACTGTGTTTATTTTTCTCTTAAAAATATTTCAACGCCATTTCTTTTTTTAAATTTTTGATATATCTACATATAAAAACTTATTTATTATTATTACTTTAACATTGGAATCTAACTAATTAATGTTTTATCTGTACCTTATAAAATAATTTTATATTATTAATCATAGTAAAGTTGATAATCAGAAGGTGCTAAAGTAGTAAGTTCTTGTATTTTTTATTTCAGTTAACCAATAGAGTCTTAAAGTTTAATGGATACTCTATTATAACCTTTTGAGGAACGAATTCTTAAAACTATTTCTTGTTATTAGTTTTGCATTTTATTGATTCAAAATTTTATTTTTATTAATAATTTTACTATATCAGAGAGTATTTTATATAATATTTCTTTTTTTTTAAAAAAAAAAAAAAAATAATAAAAATTATTTTACATATATATAATTTTTTTTAATATTAGAATAAATGTATTATAATAAATTATGAATTTATTCTTAGTTCTTTACTTTACAGTAATAAATATATAATTATGATATTTTTTCAAAATACTTTAAATTATTTATTGTTTTTTGTAAAAAAAAAAGTGTATTTAGATTTAATTATTAATAAATCAAAAAAAATATTTTTTTTATAAACTATTTAACTAAATATTACTATATTGTCTAATATGATTAATAAAATGTAATTTAATATTTTAAAAAGTTTAAATTAATTTTTATATATAAAAATATAAATAGAAATAATTTTTTTATTTATAAATATTATATTTCATGATGTTGTTTGTCTGTATTTTTAAAAATAACTCTTTAAATAATAAAAAAATGAGGCAATTTTTTATCTCGCATTTTATTGTAATATTGTTTTCAAAAAAAAATACAAAAAAAAATCAAAAAAAACATCAGAATAGTAATATATGTAAAAATATAAAAACTATTAAAATTTATTAAATATATTTTAGTAAATGGCATAAATTTTGACTATTATATTTTAAAAAGTTTTAAATGTAGGAGTTTTATACTATTTAAAAATATTATTAAACCTTAGGATAGAATAGAGTACATGAAAATTCTATAATTTAATTTGAATTTGATATTTAAAAAACTTTTTAAAAAATAATAATTAAATTCTAAACATTACAATGTCTAAAATTACTATAATATAAAAAAAAATTGGTAATATATTTAAAAATTTAAAATAATAAAACATAAATCAAATATATAAATAATGAATTTGATTATTTTTTACTTTTTCATTTATTATTATATAAACGTGCTTATTTTCAAAATATATTAACTTTATTATTTTAAATAATATAATGTTTTTTAATGAATAAAAATTTAATTTCTTCATTATTAATTGTTAATAAAAAGTAAGAAAATAGTAATTATTTTTTTAATATTTATATAAATTTATAAACAATAGATAAATTATTAGAATAAAATTTAAAATAATTTATCTTATATGGTATTTATTTATTATATAAATGAGAAATTTTGTATATTTTTAATATATTATTTACTTAATTATAAATTAAAATGTCTTTTTTTAGGTTATATCATTAATAAAAATAAAATAAACTAAATATTTTAATCATTATGTTATTAAAAATAATTATTCTATTTTAAAATAATGAATACAAATAAAATACTAATTATTATATTATAAAAATCCTTAAAAATAATTAACAAATCTATTAAGTTTTTAAAAAATTTTAAAAAAATGAATTCATATTAAAAGTAATTTCTAAAAAAATTGCTTCTTAAAAAGATGAGTAATTTATAAAATAGTTCAATATATATATATATTATATTTTATTTTTTCTGTAAATTCCATAATCCATTTTTCTCACTTTTTTTTTTTTTTTTTGATTAAGTTTTTAAAAACATGTTCTGTTTAGTACTTTTTTTATTTAAAGCTTTTATATATAATTTAGGTACTATAGCGTTTGATGAACTTTCATAAACAATAGTTTAATTTTTTAGGGGCTATTTTTGATTATATGGAACATTAAAGGAAATAGGTTGGCGATAATAAAAATAAAGCTATTTAATATTTATAGTTAAATGCTTAAAAAAATGAATTAAGTATTTGAACAGAAATGCTTATATATAAATTGGATTAACAGTAAAAGAAATTTATTTAGTAGCAAAAGATGCAATGCTGATAGATATACGCTTAAAAGGGAAATTGGAGGCGTGATTAATTTTCATTGAAAAAATTTTTATTATAGATATCTAGACTGTTTTATTCTTTTTTTTTATAACGAAAAAAGCGCTTTATTTTTTGAATTTATTGATAATGAGAATATAAAATAAAAGACTTTATGTTTATAATTTATATTTAAACTTATATTAAGTATAAAAATAAGTTTAATTTAATTATTATTTATATCAATAAATATTTGTATATTTTAATTATTTTTTTAGTCTAATAGATATAATATATTAAATTTTAAATATTAAAAAAACACAATAGTTTAATTTATATTATAAAAAAAATTAGTATTGATATTTTTAAAATAAATTTTTAAAAATTCAAAATTAATACTATATGAAAAGAATTAATTTATAAAGTCCGAAAAAAATAAAGTTACAAAGTCCTTAAAAAATCGATTTATAAAGTCCAAAAAAAATATTTTTATAAAGCCCTAATAAAATAAATATTTAAAACCAATAAAGAGTTATATATTCCGAAGGTATAAATCAACGAAATTCATATTTATTTTACGTAAAAAAAAAAAAAAAAACGAATAAAATTAAAAAAAAAAAAGGATAAATTACCGAAATTTCAAGAAAACAGCAATACTTTATAAAATATATAAAGCAAAAATCTATTTTTAAATAAGCCAAAGATATTTAAAATATCGACTAGTAGATCACCATCTCCAAAAATGATAAATTTATCTACTAAAATTAATAAATCTCCTCTATAAATTAACAAAAATGAAAATAAAGAAATTAAAAAATATTATTTTCCTTTAAAAGATGGTTTAAAATAATAACATTCACTTCGAACTATTGATACAAGTCAAATAAATAAATAAAATGAAGAAGAACACACATAATTATAACCAAAAATATTTAAATAATATAGTGATTAATAAGGAGAAATGCCTTAAAATATAATAATAGAACGCAAAAGGAAAGAATATGCCAAAAACGATGTAGAAGATTTGATTAAATAAGAAGTTAATTTATAATAATTTATTTAATTTTCATTTTTATTTTTTTGTTAATAACTTAAAGAACATAGACTATGATGAATATTATAATTGGATGGATTTAAAATTATTTTATGATAAATAAATGGATGATTATAATGCACGAGAACAGATATATTTTGTAAAATAAAAAAAAATAGTTATTAAAGGAAAAGCTTTTATAAAATAAGGAGTTTGGAAGAAATTTACTTTAGAAGATTATTGTGAATAGAAAGACTAATTTTTTATAAAATTCGAGGAAAATGGATGTTATGAATATTTTGATAGAATTTATTTATATTTTGAATGTGAAAATCCCAAAAAATTTATTTAAAGGTTATCTGGTGCTTTTTAGTAAAGAATAAAGAGTGACTCACTAATTAGATATAATTATATTATCGATAATATGCCTCTTTAAGATTTGTAGGAATTAAATCCTTATTAAATTAAAAAAATAAAGGATTTAGTTTAAATTAAATAACTTTAAAACATGTAAATAGCATCTCTACTTGTAGAAATTAATAAAGATTTTTGTAGAACTATGAATAAAATGATTTTTGATTTACATTTAAAAAATAATTTTGTCTAATAATAGGATTTTTTTATTGTTAAAAATTTAAATAATTTAAAGTTTATTTATAATTAGTCTTAAAATAAAGCTTAAATGTTTGGTATTTAGTACTTAATTTATTTCTTTTTTGTATTAATTATATTTTTTTTATTATTTTCAAGGGCATATTTCAATAAATAGAGGAGATACAATAATTATTTAAAATAATTAAAAAGTTGAGATTGAAGAATATAAAGGATTTAGAAAATTATTTAAGGACTTTTGTATTGATTCATTGCATATGAAAATAGAAGTTTATAAAATAAATTTAAATAATTAATCTTTATTTTAATTCAAAATAGGTTGTAAAATCATTATAATAAATAAAAGATGAATGCTTAAAACTAAGCTAAGTAAATGTTTTTAATACTAAATTTTAAGGTCCTTTTGTATTATAAGAACTTAGATATATTCAAGAATCTGCAAATAGCAAATTAATGCATTATATAAACGATGTTTGGGTATCAAATGTGGAAAAGATTATAAATTAAAATTTCGAAAAAGTAGGAAAAGGTTGGTATAATTTAAAAGAATCAAACAGTTAAACATATAATTTTAGTAAATTAAAAAGATTTTTAACATTAGTTAAGTTAATTATGTAGGTATCACTAAAATATTTACTTTTAAAAAAATTTTAAATATTTTTTTTTAAAAAAAAAAATAAAGGATTCTATATATTCCTTAATTTATGAAAATTTTAATATTTTAGAATAATATATAATTAATTATATTCCAAAATAAACATAAGTTATAAATCTTTAAAATGTTATTAATATATATAGAACAGAAAAATAATAAAAGGCTTTATTTATTATTGATATTGTCAAAAGTTAAACCGAAGAAGAATATTTATATGCGATAAATCCTGATACATATATATAAAATATATTGAATTTTTTTGAAAAAAGTAAATATTTTTTGTTTTATAATATTTTATATAAATCTTTATTAAAAAATATAAAATTAAAGCACTTTAAAATATAAAAACTATACCAGATATTGAATCCATAATAATGACCTAACTATATACTAGTTTAAGTTCAAAAACTTATTTGAAAACAATATAGAAACCTAAAGAAAAACCTTTTAAATATGGATAAGAATCAAAATACAAAAACTTTAATTAAGAAGGTACTTGGATATGGAATTTATTAGATAATTTAAAGGAAAAATTAGAAGAGGGAATACAGCCTTTAAAATTATATTTGAGTAAATTTGAAGAATTCAATGAAATTATGAAATTAAATACCGAAGAATACATAAATAAAATAAAAAAATAAGGAATAGAGTGTGAAATAATCAAAATATAAACAGAAATAGAAAAAGTAAAAAAATAAAATAAAAATATATTTAAATTAATCTATACAAAAGATATATTAATAAGAAGAGAAAATAAAAAATCAAATCCCATAATTAATAAAAGTATCCTATTTTTAAATCTGTTCAAAGGAAGCGTTAAATTATTTAGCAGAAAAATACAATACATTGAGAAATAAATTAACGAGCCTAATAGTTCTTCGCGCAAAAGAAAATACATTAAAAATATACAACTCGTACCATGCGATATAATAAAACCTATAAACCCATCCAAAAGATATTTTCCAATTATCCGAAATGCGAGAATATATTTAAAAATTGCCTTCCCAAGTTGATATTCTGAGTCTAAAATTTGAAGAAGTTTCCAAAATATATGATATTTTAGAGAAATATAACTATATGTTATCCAGTGATGATTTTGATAAAAGATGGCATGTGTTCGGGTCTGCTTAATAAATGTATTCTTTAATAGAAATAAGGAAGTAGGATTTGGAAAAATTAGGGTGCAAATATTAGAATTAAACAATGGAAGAATAAGAAGAATTTAATGGAAATTTAGAAATATTAGAAAAAAGTATATAAAGTCTATATAATTATAATGATTTGAATATAAATGAATATCTATATCATAAAGTGAATAATATACAAAATTAACTTATTTAATATAAAGATATGGCCAAAAGATTTAATTTAATGGAGATTCTTTATAAATAAAAAATTACTAATTATGAATTTTTAGATGATATGAATTAAGAATTTATACATTTTTATTATTTATGGACAATTGCTTTTTAATGGCCAAAAGATGAGGAATTATGGAAAAGCTAGTATTGGGAAGATTTAGAAGAATAAAAAATAGCATTTTAAGTTGAAAATTCATTAAAAAATATAGGATAAGCTTTACGTTTTTTTCGAGAAAAGAAAATGGAAAAAATAGAAGAAATAGCTTCGATTGTAAAAAGTTGGATTGATTCATTTAATTTAGTTTTACCTTTAATTTTAGCTTTGAAAAATAAAGGAATGAAAGAAAGACATTGGATACTTATTTCCGAAAAAATTAAAAAGGAATTTAAATTTAATGAAAAACAGTTTACTATTTAAAATTTAATAGATCTAAATATAATTTCAAATGCAGAATATTGTATTTAAATAGGTGAAAATGCATTTAGAGAATATAGTATATAAAATGAAATAAAAGAAATGAAATAAACCTGGTAAAATCTTTGTTTTAATATACAAGATTACAAAAGCTCAAGCATTATAAAAGGTTTTGATGAAATTCAGTAAATATTAGATGAACACAGTTTGAATAGTTAGAGTATGCTTTTTTCACCTTTCAAAAAGCCTTTTGAGGAAGAAATAAATGAATGGAATGAATAACTAAAAGTTATTGGAGAAGTATTAGAAGAATGGTGGAAATGTTAAGAAAAATGGATTTATTTAAAACCTATATTTGAATCTTAGGATATAGGTAAATAATTACCTGTGGAAAGTAAAAAATTCAAAATTATAGATTTGGCTTGGAAAAATACTATAAACTAAGCTAAAATTATAAAAAATGTTTTTCAAATTTGTCTATAGGATGGCGTTTTGGAAAGATTTTAAGAGGCAAATAAAAATATGAATAATATTCAAAAAGAATTAGGCAATTATATAGAAAAAAAAAGAGAAAAATTTGCGCGATTATATTTTATAGCTGACAATGATTTAATAGAAATCATTTCCTAAACAAATAATCCTTAGGCAATTTAACCTTTTTTAAAAAAGATATTCTAAAATATAAACGAAGTATAATTCGATGAAGGAGTTAATAAAAAAATTATATGTATGTATTCAGAAGAAATTGAAAAGGTCGAGTTTTTTTAATCTATAGAAACCTTTAATCAAAACGTGGAAGACTGGATGATAGAATTAGAAAATCAAATGAAAATTTCAGTCCGAATAGCTTTAGAAAAAGCCTTATTTTACAAATAAAATAATATCTAAAATTGGATATTAAATAATACTGGATAAAGCATTCTTACATCTTCCATTATAATCTGGACGAATGAAATCGAAGAAATAATCTAAAAAAATAACGAAGAAAATTAATTAATGAATTATTTATAAAAAATGGAAGAATAATTAAACTAAATAGTATATTTAGTACGCGAAAAAAACCTCGAAACAAAAATAAAAATAACCTTAAACGCATTTATAGTCCAAAAAGTGCACTGTAAAGACATCGTGGAATTTCTTTTTAAAAAAGAATCTATTTAAAATATTCAAGACTTCAATTGGATAAAATAACTTCGTTATTACTACTCCTAAAAAAACCTACAAAAATGCACTGTAAAATCAATATAAACCTCCTTTCCATATGGATTTGAATATTTAGGCAATACATTAAGACTTGTAATAACTCCTTTAACCGATAAATGTTTTATCACACTAATGAGTGCTTTGAAACTAAATCTAGGGGGTGCCCCTTCTGGTCCTGCGGGTACTGGAAAAACCGAAACAGTGAAAGATTTATCAAAAGCCCTAGCAAAATAATGCGTAGTATTTAACTGTTCAGAAAGCATGGACTACATTATGATAGGGAAATTCTTTAAAGGACTATCAAGTGCAGGTGCATGGTGTTGCTTTGATGAATTTAATAGAATCAATATAGAAGTACTATCTGTAATAGGACAATAATTATAAGTTCTTTTAAATGCTAAAGCCTAATTTTAATAATTTGTGGAATTCGAAGGATCTTTAGTTCGCTTAGACTTCTCCTTTAGTATGTTTATCACTATGAACCCTGGTTATTCTGGCAGAACAGAACTTCCTGATAATTTAAAAGCTCTTTTTAGGCCTGTGGCTATGATGATACCTGATTATGGGATGATAGCAGAAATTTTGCTTTATTCTTTTGGATTTAAATAAGGAAGAATTTTGGCAATGAAAATTAAATAATTATTTAAAATTGCTTCCGAAGTTATTTCTTTTTAGGACCATTATGATTTTGGTTTGAGAAGTTTTAGAAGCGTTATTGTTACTGCAGGCATTTTAAGGAAAGAAAATGAATAAAATGAAGATTTATTGATTTTTAAAGCATTAAAAAGTGTTAATTTGCCGAAGCTTTTGCCAGATGATGTTCCTCTTTTTACCAATATACTCAAAGATTTGTTTTATTAGGATACATTGGATTAATTAAGAGAAGATTAGGATACTTTGAGAACAAAAAAGGACATTTTAAACCATTTTTAGAAGAATAAAATGCAAATCGAAGACACTTTCTTACAAAAAATTCTCTAACTTAACGAAAGTCTAAAAGTTAGACACGGTTTAATACTTTTAGGACACCCAGGTAGCGGAAAAACAACCAACTATAGAACTTTAAAGAAAATAATAGGTAAGAGAGTTCACTGTAAAGTAATAAATCCAAAAAGTATTAGCCTAAATTAACTATATGGATATTTTAACGAAAACTCTCATGAATGGAATTTCGGAATTCTGGAATTTTTGATAGTTGATTGTTTAAAAAATAAAGAAAGCTTAAATTGGATAGTTTTTGATGGTCCTATAGATTCCATTTGGATAGAATCATTAAATACTGTATTAGACGATAATAAAAAATTATGTTTGAATTCTGGGTAAATTTTTAGCCTAGATAATAATATTTCGTTTCTTTTTGAAGTGGAGGATTTAAAATTTGCAAGCCCGGCAACTGTGAGTAGATGTGGAATAATTTATATGCAAAATAATTGCATTAGTATTAAAAATTTAATTGAAAAGTGGAAAATTAAAATAAGATAAAATAATATAGGAAGTTAGTAATTAACTAATTTGTTAAAATAGATTGATTTTTTGATTGAATTTTATATTAATTAATCTTTTGTGAAGTTTCTAGATTAAAATTTGAATTTAGCAAGATTTATGAATTAAATTTTTGAGTGTTTTCTTAATTTTCTAACTGCATTTTTCTTTGAAGATTTTTATCTTTTGCAGGAAAAATTAATTTTGGAAAAAAATAATAATAATAATAATAATAATAATAATAATAATAATAATAATAATAATAATAATAATAATACTTAATTTAATTAAGGCTTATTTATGATTTTTGTTTTTTGTTTGACTTGGAGTTTTGGCTCATTTTCTGATTAAGAAAATAGAAAAAAATTTGATCTTTTTATAAGGGAAATTACATAATAAAAGCAATTATTACCTCAAAACTTATATGATTTTATCATTTAAGTAAAAAATAATGCATTAGAATATGTTCTTTGGGAAAATTTGAATTCTTTTTCTATATTATAACCTAAAATGGAATATCACAAATTAATAATACCTACTAGATAAACAATTCAGAATAATTTTTTAATAACTAAATTATTAAAAAATGAAAACAACAATATATTTATTTTAGGAAACTCAGGAACTGGAAAAACCATTTTGGCTAATCTTTTAAATTAAAATAATGATAATGATAATATTTTTATTAAAATAAGTATTTCCCCACATACCACATCTAATTTTACATAAGAAAGTATAGATTCGAAATTAGAAAAACGTAAAAAAGGTGTTTATGGGCCTCCAATTAGTAAAAAATGTATATTGATTGTTGATGATATTAATTTAGCTAAAAAAGATGAATAAGGTAATTCTGTGCCTCCCTTGGAACTAATAAGATGATATTTAGACCATAAGGGATGGTATAGTAGGAAAGAGTTAAAATTCATTTAAATTTAAGATGTTATTGTAATCGGAATTGCAGGTATTTCAGGTAAAATGCGATTTGTTAAAGATTTTAAAGACATTTTAATAATATTTCATGCATAGATTTCTAATAAGATGAACTTTTATCCATTTTTTAAGAACTCGTAGGAATTTTTTTACAAAGATAATAATTTTAATAATCTCATCAAATTTTGTGTTGAGACATTCTTCTAAATAAAAAATAAATTTCTCCCTACCCCTGGAAAGCCTCATTATAATTTTAATACTAGAGACCTTTGGAGAATTTTCCAAGGAATATGTACTGCAAATAATATATTAAATAACATCACAAATGTAGAATAATAATATAATTAAGAAACTATACAAGAATTGGTTTTCATTCATGAATGTTTTAGAGTCTTCCACGACAGATTAACAGAAGAGAAAGATCGGGAAGATATGAGGAAAATAATATTGAAAAACTTCAAAAAAAATGATGATGTATTCTACTAAAATCGTTTGATATTTACCTGTATGAGAAATAATTAGAAATATTTACAAATAAAAAATATTTCCGAATATTCTTAAGAACTAGAATATATCTAAAAAGATTATAATAATGAGACTTCATCTTTTATTTTAAACGGTTTAAAAACAAAAATGAATTTACTTATGTTTGAAGATGCATGTGAACATATGGCCAGAATCGCCCGAATTTTGAAATTTCCACAAGGTCATGCTTTTTTATTAGGAATAGAAGGTACTGGGAAATAAAGTGCAGCAAAAATTGCTTGTTTTTTAATGCAAATAAAAATTTTCTAAATTGATTTAATAAAAAATTATACTTTTAGGAATTGGAGGGATGATTTAAAGAATGTTTTGACATTTACAGGTATTGAAAATAAGTCTATAGGTTTTATTTTAAGAGATACATAAATTTATTAGTATTCTTTCATAATGGAAGATATTAATATAGTATTGAAAAATGCTGGTGAAATCCCAGGGCTTTACACTTAGAAAGATTTAGAAGAAATTATGTAATCTTGTAAATACGACTGTATTAAAAAAAGTATATAGATAACTAAATAAAATATCTTTAATGAATATTTGAATAGAATTTAAACAAACACTCATTTAATTATTATTTCATCTCCTTAACACATTAAATATTTTGCTCCATATATAACTTCTTAATGCTTAATTAATTCATTTTTAGAATGGCCTTAAGAAGCTTTAATTGGTGTAGGAAAACTTTAATTATAAAATTTCCATATAAACGAAGAAAATAATGAAGAAAACATAAAAAATTAAAAAAATATGGAAGATTAAGAAATAAATTAAATAACATTAGTATTGACCAAAATACACTAAAGTGTGTAAAAAGCAAGCATTAAATTTAAAAAAGAACTCAATAGAACAAATTATGTTACCCCAGCCAGCTTTTTAGAATACATAAGTACTTTTAAAAATTTGAATATTTCCAAAAAAGAAGAAATCGCAAATTCTATTTCTAGACTCAAAAGCGGGCTTGATATACTTGAAGAAGCTAATAAATAAATCAAAGAAATGGAAGCTGCCCTTAAAGAAATGTAACCTTAATTATTAGCAGCTTAGATTGAAACTGAAAAAATGATGGATTCTTTAATTGAAGAGAAAAATAAAGCTGATGCAAAGCAAAAAATAGTTGCTGAAGAGGAACTTATAGCCTCTTTATAATAATAAGAAGCCACAAAATTAGCTCTAGAAGCCGAAAGTAGTGTTGCCGAGGCTAATATAATCCTTTCTTTGACTTTAGCAGAAGTTTAGAAGCTAAAAAAGGAGCATCTAGTAGAAATAAAGGCTTTAGGAAGTCCTCCTTAAGCCGTGAAAATAACTCTAGCGGGAGTAGTAATACTAAACACTGAAAAAATAAAATAAAACGGCGGAGAAATAATAATGCAAGTAAAAGAAGGGCAATAATTAACTATGAAAAAAGAAGAAAACTATTTCGAAACTGCAAAAAGATACCTTTTAAACGACACAAGAGAACTACTTGAAATGCTAATGAATTTCGACAAAGACTCCATTTAATAATCAACTATAATTAAACTAGAGTAAAAAGTACTTAGTATGCCAGAATTTAATATTCAAAGTGCAGAAAGATGTTCTTATGCGACAAAATTCTTATTTATGTGGGTAAAGGCAATGGCTGATTATTATAAAGTATATTCCGATTCGAAACCTTTGAGAGAAAAATTAATTTAAATGAAAAAAAATGTTGAAGAAAAAACATAGGAATTATTAATTAAAAAAGATGCTTTATAAAAAATTAATGAGTAAATTTAACTTCTTTAGTTTGATTTTGATTAAAAAATGATACAAAAAAATAATTTTACCTAATAGATTATACTATGCTAATAAAAATTGTAAAGAGCTTAAAAATTAATAGAATGTCTTCATGAAGAAAAATTAAGATGGGCGTCAGATATTTCCAAATTGTAAAAAAAAATCAAGCAAACAATACCTTTATCACTATTCTCATCTGCAAAAATAACCTATAATGGTCCTTTTACATAAAAATATCGCCAAAGATTATCAGAAAAAATCCAAAAAATAATATTAAAATAACCTGCTTTCCATAACGTATAAAAAGACTAATTTGATATTTAAATATTTCTATCGAGTTCTTTGAAAATCCAACAAATGCATATGCAAGAACTCCCAAAGGATGAAACATCTATAGAAAACGGAATTATAATGGACAAAACTCCGCGCTGGCCTTTAATAATTGATCCATAAAATCAAGCAAATAAATACATAAGGAATTTATCTCGAGAAAATCCAGAAGGTTTTGAAGTAGCGAAAGTGAACTAAAAAACTCTTTTAAAAGTTTTTGAAACCGCAATTTAAAGCGGAAAATATCTTTTATACGAAAATATAGGCTTAGATGATTTAGAAACTGCCTTAGAGTCAGTTTTTGTGAAAAATATAAGTGAATTTGGAAATAAAATGATAATTAACATAGGAAATAAAACACTGGAGTATATGGATTCTTTCCGACTTTTTATTACTTCTTGTTTACCAAATCCTAATTTTCCTCCAGAATACTATGTCAAATTTACAGTTATTAATTTCGCAGTTACTCCTTATGGTTTAGAGGAATAATTGCTAGCATAAATTGTTAGTTTAGAAAATCCAGATCTCGAAGAAATGAAGATTGTAATAGTAAAAAAAAATGCAAAAGAAGAAAATGACTTATTAAAAATTGAAGATTAGATTTTAAAATGCTTATCCGATATAAAAGATATAAACGAAATTTTAAAAGATGAAAACCTTATAATATAATTGTAATCTTCTAAAATGTTCGCATAAGAAATAAACGAAAGAGTAACACAAAGTAAAATTTATGAAAAATAAATAGATGAATCAAGAGAAAAATACCGAATTTTTTCACACAGAGCTCAAATTTTATTCTTTACAATTATTGAATTTTCAATAATAGACCCAATGTATAATTATTCTCTTTAATGGTTTAATAATTTATTCATTTTATCAGTCAAAACATGTATTTAAGATTCTAAATTTTAAAAATTAAATGAATTCTTTACTCTTAAATTATATGAAAATATATCCATCTCTTTATTCTAAAAACATAGGTTGCTATTTTCTTTTATTTTAGCTGTAAAACTGAACTAAATCCCTGATTAAGAATTAAGATTTTTCCTTACAAAATCTCCTTCTTCCATTTCTTCTTTTAATTCAAGCCAATAACTAAATATCCCTGAAAATCCTTCATCTGAACATAATTATTTTATCTCAAAAAATATATGGACTTCCTTGTATTTCTACTTGAAAGAATTCGAAAAAGAAATTGAAAGCTCTAAATTTAATATCAAATATCATTTCATAGATTAAATTGAAAAATATAAAAGCCTATTTTTATCCCGAAACGACGAACTTTCTGATAGTCTATCTTTCTTATCTTTAACAACTTTTCAAAAACTAATTCTTTTAAAAGGCTTTCATCCCGAAAAAGGAATAAAATGCATTTAATCTTTTATATATTAAACACTAGGTTCAGAATATATAAAATCTCCTCCTTTAGACTTATAAAAAATATGTAGAGACTCCACGAACATAACTCCTTTAATATTCGTATTATCTCCTGGATCTGACCCTTTAATTCATTTCAAAAAATTATCCGAAAATGAAAAAATGTTAAAGAAAACAGCCTACATATCTCTAGGCTAAGGCCAAGGTCCAAAAGCTGAAAAACTTATAAAAGAATATGTATAAAAAGGAGGTTGGATAATGCTACAAAACTGTCATTTATGTTAATCTTGGATGCATAATTTATCCCTAATATGCCAAGAATTAAACGAAAATACAAACAAAGATTTCCGTTTATGGTTGACATCGATGCCTTCTGCTGATTTTCCAATACAAATTTTACAAAACAGTATTAAAATTACCATGGAGCCTCCTTAAACTGTCCGTGAGAATCTTGTGAATACATTTTTTCAAATTAAAGATTTATAAACCTACGACTCCCTTTCCAAATACTAACAAAAATTAATTTTTTCCTTTTCCCTTTTTCATTCTGTTATCCAAGAAAGGAAAAGATTTGGATCTATAGGATGGAATCTTCAATACGAATTTACAAATGAAGACCTTAGTGTATGTTTGAAATAACTTAATTTTATATTCTAACAAAAATATGATATTATTCCTCTAAAAGTGCTCATTTTTTTAGGCGCAGAAATTAATTACGGAGGAAGAGTGACAGATAATAATGATTTGAAGCTAATAAACTAAATACTAACAGATTATATAGAAAACGAAGAAGAGTTTTCATTAAATTCTAAATAAGAAGTTCTCGATTTTATTTAATAAATGCCCATAAATACTACCCCTGAATTCTTTGGACTACATTCAAATGCTGAAATTAACAATTCATTAGAAAATCTCCGCTTTTTATTAGAAAATGCACTCCTTTTATAACCCTCTTATTAATATTAAGAAGAAAATTCCTCCGTAAACTACTTCTAATAAAATATGTTATCATTAATAGAACATTACTTAACAAAATTTCCAAATGCATTCAATATTTCTTAAATTAAATTGACTTTTCCTCTATCCTATACAGAATCATTGAATACTTTTTTAATATAAGAATTAAATAAATATAATACTTTAATTTTATTAATATAAGATACTTTATTATAACTAAAACTCGCACTTTAAGGTTTTTGCGATTTTTCCGAAAAACTAGAAAACATACAAAATGCTATTTTTAATAATTTTGTACCTCAAATATGGAAAGAAAAATCATTTGTATCACTAAAATCATTACCAAATTGGTTTTTCGATTTAAAACAAAGAATTATTTTTTCCTTAAATGGATTGAATTATAAAAAGCACCTTCCCCAATTTGGATTTCATCATTCTTTTTCCCTTAAGGTTTTTTAACTGCTACTATGTAAAACTTCTCAAGAAAAAATTCAGTTCCTATTGATAAATTAACATTCAGGCATTAAATTATTGATCCTTAATAAAATATTTATTAAACATAAGATGGAGCTTTTATTTATGGTATGTTTCTTGAAGGAGCAAAATGGGATACTAATTTAAAAACTCTAAGCTAATCTAATGAAAAAGAACTATTTGTAGAATTTCCTGTTGTTCTTTTATAACCTTGCATAAATGATGAAGAAGAAAATCAAATAAAAAACTTTTATCTAATTTTTATTTATGTCCTGTTTATAAAACTGTTTAAAGACAAGGATAACTTACTAGTACAGGACATTCAAGTAATTATGTTATGGATTTATATATTCCTATAATAGAAAGTAGCGGTGTATGGATAAAAGCTGGAGTAGCTTTACATTTAAGTCTAAGAAATTGAAATAAATGAAGAATAAATTTACTATATAATTAATATAATTTGAATTATATAATATTGATTTATATTATTTTTTAAATAGAAAAATTAAATATATTTAATATTTATATATGTAAATATATAAAAAATATATATATATTTTAATCTAATTATATTTTATATATATATATAAATATACATTTTTCCAATAAAATTTTTATAAACAAATTTTATTTATGAGTGCAGTTGAGTAAAATAAATAAAAATAAATTAATCTAATTTAATAAAAAGATTAGTATTGTTAAAATTGCAAAAATTAATGCAAACAAAAGAACAAATGTTATAAGAATAAGAATCTAGATTAAATAAATTAATAAAATTAACTGAAGAACATTGCAATTTAATTTAAAAGCAAAAAAAACGAAAATAACTTGAATAAGCAAAATAAAAAAAGATACAATAATTAAAATAAAGGCAAAAAGAATATTTTTAACAAATAAAGTTAATTGAAAACAATTCAAATACGATAAATGAAAGATAAAAATAAATTAAACTAGATTAAGAAAAACTAAATGAAATTTCAAATAAATGTGCTGAAAGACAAAAAAAAGTAGATCTTTTATAAACAGTTATATTATCTAAAAAACGATTATCATGTTATTAATTATGTACTATATTTTTTAATGAATATTTATCAGCTTTTATATTTCTTAATGGAGTTCCTAAAATATTTACTAATTATGAATCAATTACAAGTAAATACATTTTTTTTTTTTAATATATATTTTATATTAATCAATCTTATATATTATATATCTATATTTTTATTGTTTGCAATATTATAAAGATTAAAAGGTTTTGAAGAAAAAATTAGTGCAGGTTTAGGTTATTATGCTTTACTTGTTGATTAATTGGCACTTATTCATGATATTAATTTGAGAAATAAGATTATTTTTAAAGGTTCTAGAACTTAAATACAAAGAGAGGATTCAGTGTAATTATATTATTATTTTTTATATATATATATTATTTTAAAGATTATTAAATTTATATATTTAGAAAAAAGAAGATGCTATAAAGCTTGATTAAGCTTAAAGAATTTTTATTTTAGATATTTATTAAATATTTGATGCCCTTAACTTTGATAAAAGTTATAAAAAATCAGATATTTTGTATTTATTAAGTATTATTTGCCAATACTTATATTCAGGAGAATTAAATGAAAAAAACGATTTTTGAAAAAAATAAAATAAACAAAAAATATATAAATACACGCTTTTTAATAGTATATCGTAAAATAAAGCTAAATATTTTATTACAAAAAAAATAATAAAAAAAACTAAAATATTATTAATGGAATAAAAAAATATAAAAGTCTATATAAATTCTTTTATATTAAAAATTAAATAAATACAAATATAAAAAGAATTAATTTTTAAACAAAAATTAAGAAATTTTAATAATAAACATTTTCCGCCACAGCCGAGATATGGCATATTATCCTTTTTAAAATTCATAAAGAATTATAATGGGAAACTTCAAATAAAATAAACATAATATAAGCATCCACTTTTTTTTTAATTATTAGCCAAAATTATTGTATATATAATTTCAATATCATAATTATATAAAACATTATGATGAACTTTTATTATCACTAAATCAAATCGAAAAAAAAGCGTAAGATTTATAAATAACAAGACATCAATTAATAAATAAAAGATTTACAAATATATGAAAATCCGATTAAAATCTCTCAATAATATAAATTTATAATATGGAAACAACTAATATATTAAAGCTTTGTAGATTAATTAAAGAGGAGGGATAAGTTAAAATTTTCTTGATATCTTTTCACAATTACAAAAGAACGTACATTTTAATTTTATGATAGAATACAAGGTTCATCTAAATCAGTTTTCGTTAAGGTAAAGACTATGAGTAATATTTAATAAAGTAACTAAAATTTTTTGACACATTTGGTACATAAAGATATCGATTTCCATTTCAAATTTACCGATAAAATTTAAAAATTATCAAATTAATTAAATGAAGCAGGTGAAATAATACATTATTAAACATTAGAAACACATATATTAATAATTATAAAAGTTCAAATTTTATAAATAAAATAAAAATATTCATATATAGAGTTTTTAAGAAACTATATATATACTAAATATTAAATATATTTAGAATTTTGTCAGATTTCCTTATTAGTTTTTCTTAGATATTTAAATTTAAATATAATGATATATATGATTATTTTTAATAAATAAAAACTAAACATTTAATAATCTTTATATATACACTAGATATATCAAATTTTTATTTATATTTAATTAAATAAATTTAATTTTGCATTTAATATATTATAAATACATATAGAATCTCAAGTACTTATTAAAAAAAAAAAAATTAAAAAGATATATAAATATCTTTAATAACTTTTTTGATTTCTCTGGATATATTTTTAAATTTTTTGTATAACCTAAATCCGGGACATTAAAAATATAATAAACATAATTTAGTATGATTTCATATATATATATATTGAAAAAAAAAAATATTTTTTAAATAATATATTATAATTATTTTAATAAATAATTTCATATTTAATTGTAATATGTATTCATTAATCTTCTAAATATATTAGAATTTGAAAATATAAAATAGTTTTTATTATTAAAATAAAAATATACAAGTATTTCTTACTTTAATTAAAAGAAATTCTTTTAATTTTTTATATTAAGTTCCATATTTTTAAATCTAAAATTGACATATATCTACAAAATTTATAATAAATTACATATTTTTAGCAAAAATAATAAATAAATATTATTATAATAAAATGTAAAATCATTAGAATAATATTATTAAATTTTTAATAATAAATATATTTAGTAAATTAATTAATCTTTTTAAATTTATATTATTAATCATATAGATACCTGAATTTAAAATATAAGATTTTATATAATATTTAATTTTATATTAAATTTTAAATATACATAGAATATTTGTTTTTGTTTTCATTAAATCTTAAAAATATAATTATATTTAATCTCTTTATAATTTACTTACATTTAAAAAAAATACAATAGTATTTAAGTATGTATTATATTTAATTTTTTTAAAAATTAAAAAAAATAATTAAAGTTTTTAATTTAATTATAATTGCTTATTACATTTCTTTTAAAGAAAATAATAAATTCTAATAAAAATATAATATTAATTTTAAATAAATATTGTTTAGGAATTTAAATTTATAAAGGTTATGAATACTGTAAAAATCTGCTCTAATAATAAAATAATTTATGTATATTAGAAATTAAATAAAAAAATATAAACAAATAAGTTACAAAACATTATCTAAAAATAATAATTATGTATAAAATATAATATAATACATAAATTAAATATGTTTTCTATATTTATCATTACAATATATTTAAATTATAAAAATTAAAAGATAATTATTAAATAAATGCAATTTTTTTTAGCAGTAAAATTATTTAAAAAAAAAATTATAATTATAGAAATAATAATAAAATATAAAATAATTATAAACAGTTAAAAAAAAAAAATTAATATAAAAAAAATAAAATAAAAATGATTAATTAAATTATATTAATATAAAATAAAAAATATAGTTAAATAATACGATATTATATTATATATATATATATATAAATATATATATATATATTTATATATTTTTAATGTATTATATAATTTAAAAATTCTTTTTTCATTTTTTAATAAATAAAATAGTAAAAAAAAATATAATTTTATATAATTATAAATATATTTAGGAATAAATATAAATATTTTTTTGTTCTATTTTATTATACATAAATATTTTTGATATTTTTATATTTATGTTTTTATTTTCTATTTAATTTAGAATAATTACGTCTGGGTCATGAGGTGTATATAATACGACTCACTTTTTATAGCACTTGTCAAGTCTTATGTGATGATTATATACCATTCATTTTCCTATGTAAATATTTAACAATTCAAGTCCAAAATTGGTTTTTTATGGTATTCTTTTCGATTAGGACATATCTATTTTGAAATTAATTCATATACTATTAAAAATTTATGTCATTACTCAAACAAAACAAAAAAATCCAAATTATATTTGAATTTAGATGAGTTCAAATTACATTAATATTTAATATTATATGTCTCAGAATCCATAACAATAATATTAAATAGTTTTTAAATCTGATAAAGTTTCTAATAATAAATTAGTTAGCCATTAATGATATATGTCTTTGAGAATAATAAATATTATTAAATAAATTATAATTTGCTAAATAAAAAATAATTAAAAATTATATGAAAATATAATTTATAAGTTTATAATATTTATTATAAATTTTATTATTTTTAATTTTTAACACTTATGAAATGTTCTTCTTGTATGCTTATATTTTTGAAATAATTTAGTATTATATCTTTTTGCAAACAATAATTTTAAAATCCTTAAAATAAAATTAATATAAAAACAAATTAAATTAATTTATATATATATATTAAAAAAAAAAAAAAAAAAAGAATATTAATTATTAGCAAAATAAACATTAATA